CCACTTATGAAGGGTGCGCACAGCGTGGCTCACGGCTGCATCAAGGACTGAGGAGCTGGATTGTGGGGGTAGCTTGTTATTCCCCCTCTACCCCCAAGGCGCCCTGGTTCCCAGGTGCTGGGCTGCTGTGAATGAGCATTCCAGGCCACCCCCATGGCAATGGAGGCAGAGTGGGCAAGACGTGCGTCTGCGGGGCTACCAGGCTTGGTAGGAAGAGGCAGGACTCCAGGCTCCACAGCCCTGCTGCTGGGCTGCGTGGGCCCTCACACAGCCAGGAGTGCCCCTGGGCAGCAGCAGCGGCGTTTAGATGGGCAGAGGCGCTGCCTTCGGTATGATGTGCTGGCTCAGCTCAGCTGGTCAGTTCCCTGCCAGGCCATGGTGGTGACAGCATGCCCAGCACAGCTCTTGGTGCCAGGGGCCAGGGCTGACATGGTGGCCTGGGTCACTCCATGGGCTGCAGCTGGACTCGGCAGAGCATCTCTGACACCCCACCCAGTTCAAATGTCGCTCAAGCTCGTCACCACTGTGGTCTCCGGCCTCCGAGTCCCTGCTCCTGTGGCTCTCCTTGTGGAGACGGCCCTCCTTCCTTCCACACCCAACCCAGACGCCCCCTCTCTCCTGAACCCCCCTCCCGCCTCCCCATCAGAGGGACTTCATCCCTCCTTGGTGCCTGAGTCCTTTTGTCCTGACAACCTGCCGGGTGAGGTGAGGGCTCCACATTCCTGGAGGGAGACCCCCTTTTTTTTCTCCATTTCTGAGCCCCACCCTGGCCCCTGGCTTCCCTGCCTCGCCTGCCCCGGGGGCTGTCGCTGTGTGTGGGATTAAATGGGATTGAGTGTAGACAGCCCAAGGGCTGGAGCTGCTGGCTTCACGTGTTTGAGGTGCGTGGTGTGGGGAGGAGGGGCGGGGGCATGGCTCTGACTCTGGCTGGGATGTGGCCCCCGCTCCCACACCCAGCAGCATGGGTCCGCCTCACTCCGTGCTGAGCTCAGTGCATGCCTTTTGGGTGGGAGACGGGCCTCGTTAACCAGCTCCAGCCTGGCCTTGGAGAAATGTGCTGACACCAGGCATAACATAAACACTGACATTTGCTGACAGCCTTGCCCCCAGGGCTCTCAGGCCAACAGAAGCCGGCCAGGAGGGGTGAGGGACTCAGCCAGGAGGGGCAATTAACTGAGTAATAGAGGGAGGACGAGGCTTGGTCCAAGATGGGGCTTTCATGTGGAATTCCAGGCGGTGATGAGGTTTTGAGTTGTGTGTGCGTGGGAATCTGAGACCCCCTTGGCTGACACAGCCAAAGCAGCCCCTGCATCACACACGCACACCGGAGGCCTGCTGGCTCTGAGCCAGGTTTTCTGCGCCTTCCTGGGCACAGGGCCTGCTGCCCCAGGTCAGAAGCTGGGCCCCGCCTCCTGCCCCCGCTCCAGGCTGGCGGGTTGGGGAAACGAGGGATCAAGGGGAAGTCCCTGCTGCATTAGTCACCAGTGCTGTCCCTGTCACCAGAGACTTCCTGCTCCATCCCGGTTCCATCTTGCCTGTGGGGACAGGTGTGGAATTCCCGAGAGACACGGGGACAGGCAGGGCCTGCCGGCCTTGCTCCGCCCCCTTCACAGCTGCGGTCAGAGCGCAGGGAGGGCAGGAGTCTTCCCTGATGTTCTGGCCTTGGAGGCCGGTGTCCAGGGCAGCTGCTGGGAGAATGAATCAGCATGACAAAAACAATCATAGCTAATAGCTGTCACCACTTACTGAGTTCTTTCTGTTCTCTCTGGGCCTTGTTTTTTGTGGTCTCCCATCCCCACAGGAGCTCAGTGACTGGGGATGGTGGTTTATTATGCATATTTCACAGGCGAGGAAACCGAGGCTGGGGAAAATGACTTGTCCGATCATCCAATAGGAAATGGGTGAGGTTGCCTGACTCCAAGGTTTGTGGTGCATAACTTCCGGTGGGAGCACTGAATGGGGACTTCAGTCTCTCACAGGACCTGGTTCCAGACTTTGAAGGACTGATACCAAGTCTTGGGGCTGGCCGCCTTGAGGTCACTCAGTCCATCCCTCAGCTGTGGCTGTGCCTGGAGGGGCCAGGACCGAGCACTTGACTGTGGATTAGGCCTTCCCACGAGCAAAGTCTCTGACTCCTCACAGCATCCTTGGGAAGTAGGCAGGATGGTTCCTATTTCTCGGGTGGGGAAACGGAGGCTCATGATGGGAAGACTCGGGACCAGAACTCTGGCCTTGACACCTGCTGCCTCCTCACCTTCTCCTGGGTCAGGGTGAGGCTGCCATGTGGGCGTGGAGGTGACTCAGGCATGGCACGTGGGCGGGCGGGCACTGCAGCTGTGGCTGGTGGGTGTGGCCTGCCTGGCGCCAAGGGCAGGTGGCCCAGCCAGTTCTGCCTCTGAAGCCTCATTCCAGCCATCTCTGTACCTGTGATGAGAGCCTCCTGCCGCCTCAGCCACTGCCCCACCGGGGGGCCTTGGGCCCCGGACATGCGGTGATCTCAGGGCAGGGGCAGCCACCGCCACCCGACCTCACCAGGTGAGTGGCCACACAGGCAGCCAGTGCCCTTCAGAGCCCGGGGGAATCCAGGGGGAGCCCAGCGAGAGGACCTCAGGGGTCCTCTGGACCATGGCTATCCTTTGTTGCTAGGCCTCTGGGAGTGCTGGAGGGAGTGTGAGCCTCTAGCAGGAGAAACAGCTAGACTGGAGCTGAGCTCTTGGCCATGGGGATGTGCCAGAGTATGGGGTCTGATGGAGCCAGGATCTTTTCCCCGAGGGCTGAGGGCCGGGGGTCTGGGGAGGGAGAACCCCCACAGCTCCCAGGGCCAAGATGAGGCGCCTGTCTTTCTAGCAGGCTCTGGGATGTGGCTCTGTGGGCAGGAGTGATGGGACTTTGGGATCGGGGAGGCGGCTCTGAGCTGAGAGGGACAGGACCCAGGCACTCACTCCACAGGTGCTGGGCCAGAGGCGGGGGCTCCCTGTGCCTGTGGACAGTGTCGGGGCTGGGGAGGCACAACCTCCTCCTTCCCAGGTGGAAGGAAGCCTGATCCAGAGAGGGATGCTGTGACAGCGAGAGAGTCTGGCTGGTGAGAACGCCGGGCCAGCCGGGTGACTCAAGGAGCTAATTACAGCTGCTGATGTCCCAGTCCGGAGTTTTCCCGAACCACTTTGCCTAGCTGCCCAGTGTTGCCTACACCCATGGGAGGGCCCAGGGCAGAGAGGATGGAGCAGGCAGCTGCGTGCATAGAAATGGGCCATTTAGCCCATTTCTCAGAGTAGAGGGCAGAGGCTCAAGGAGGTGTGAGAAACAGGTCTTTCCTCCCTCTTCTTTATTCTTGGCCATCACTTCCGTGCATCTGGCTGCTTACAATGGCCTCCCAACAGGCTGCAGCACCTGGTGGGCCTTGAGGCGCTTCCTCAGAGCTCCCTGCCCCGAGGTGCCTGTGGTCTGGACCAAAGGCCTCCTGGGAATGACTCCTCCTCTACCCAGGGTGCTCACGGTAGTGTGTGTGGAGGGGGCTATGACATTTGTAAACCGCACTCCAGTCTGATGACAGCCTGCTCCAGACACCTCCTCCAGGAAGCTCTCTTCTTTGGGGCAGGATCACCAGTGTCCCCAGTTCCACTCCACCCAACGGGGCTCTTACAGAAACCTATCCCTCACCCCCATCTCCCTGACTCCAAGGGAGTTCCCTCAGTGCTGCTCGAGCTGAGAATGGCCCTCATGAACTACAGAGTCACCTACTGTCCACACTGAGAGGGCAGAGCAGAACACACACAACCCTTTCCCATGGCCAGCCCACCCTTCCCATCCGGATGGCCCCCACAGCGTCTCCCCTGGCCCCCCGCCTCTGGTCTCCCTTCCCACACGCAGCCTGCTCTCTCTAAGGTGGCTGTCTCCTGTGTAACCGGGGCCTTCCCGTGGCCCCCACTGCCCTGGGGAGCTGCCAAGGCACCGGGCTGGCGTCCGGGTCCTCACAACTCGGTCCATCCTGCTCCCAAGCCTCTTGTTGTCGGGGCTCCCTGTGAACAACCACTCCAGCTCCTTACCGCTTGCTCAACTCTGTGACCCCGGGTCTTGGCTCAGGCTGTCCTATCTGCTTGGATTGCCCTTCCCCAAGTCTCCTTAGAAGATGTATTGGTCCCTCTTTCCTGCATCGCCCTCCCACCAGCATGCAATCCAGCCACACTGAGTGTCAATAAAGCAGGTCTGGACGGAGAGGGTGCCTCCTCAGTTGCTTCCTCCAGGCGAACAGACAGACACGAAGCTGGTTGCACTGTGCTTTGTGTGCGTAAGAGAGAGATGGTCAGTGTGTTAGCCACAGAGACCACCAGGTGCTGAGAAATCCAGGAACCAGAGGGGGCTGAAGCTGTGTCATTAGGAGCATAGTGTCTAGAGCAAAGGAGGTGACAAGTCCTGTTCTACCACAGAGAGCTCTGAACACGAAATCTGAAATGAGCATTAAGAAAGCAGCACTTGGTGTTTGGCTGGTGTTTCTCAGTGGTTAGCACATTAGCCTGTGGCCCAAAGGGTCCCGGGTTCGATTTCTTGTCAAGGAAGGGCAGGTACCCGTGCTGCGGATTTGATACCCTGCCTCAGTTGGGGCACGAGCTGGAGGCAACCAGTAGATTTGTCTCTTCTCTTTCTCTCTCTCTCTCCCCTCCTCCTCCCTCTCTTCCTTCCGCTCTAAAAAAATCAATGGAAAAACATCTTCAGGTGAGGATTAACAAACAAACACACACACACAAACAAGAGAAAGCCAGGCTTGTTCTCAGCAATCCACCTGGAGGTTGGCGGGCTGGACATGAGCAGGGAGCAGGGAGCAAGGGAGCAGGGAAAGCTTCAGGGACAGCCTCCCTGTCCCTGAGAGGGGGTGGTGCCCTGGGAAGAAGAGAGAGTGAGCTCCTCATCCTAGGGGTATAAGCAGGGGCCCCAGAGAGTCTGAAGTCCCCTGAAGCTCCTCCATGCCCCTGGAGCATCTGTGCTGTGATTGTGTTCTAGCCATGAATGCCCACACCAAGGAGATGGTGCCCCTCATGGGCAGAAAAGCCACCGTCACCAGTGGGAACCAAGTCGTCCTACAGGAGAAGAGGCCGGCAGAGATCACACCCACTAAGAAGAGGTAGGACGGGCAGGCTTGGGCCTGGGTGCTGTGCGGGAGTCCTGGTGCTCACTCTCAGTGAGCCCTTGCCTGGACCGGACCAGAGAGGTTCAGCCTTATCTGCGGTGGCCTGGTGCCCAACTAAGTATAGATAAATATAACCGATGGGCGGAGAGACCATATTGTAGACTCAGGGGGTCGAGCCGGGGAGGTCAGTGTGATTGGAATCATCAGGGAGGTGGCAGGGGCCACTGAGGCCGGAACCTTTAGGAAGACCCCTGGGGAAGGTAAGGGATGGCTGGAGCCCTCTGGAGACAAGGAGCAAAAGGTGGGTGGACATTACAGGGGGTCGGGACCCCATACTGGGTACTATTTTCATACACATCTATTGTGTGCCCAGCCAGGCCAGTCACCCTAACGCCACCTGTGTAATGGGGACACCAGCAATGGCACCAACTCAGAGGGTGATGGTTAATTGGGATTGTGCCATCCAAGGACTCAGCAAGGTGCCTGACCCGCAGTCAGTGTCCAGCACGTGTTGACATTGATAGTATTTTTGTAACCTTGAGACTCATTGCATCGTCGTCATCGTCATCATCACGCCACAGGGCCCTTGGGAACTGGACAGGGCTAGGATGTTTTGACCACTTCCCAGTTGGGAACATGGAGCAGGGAAAGTACTTCTCTAGGGTCACACCTGGCCCCTGAGCTGCCTCCACTGTTGTCCCCCACCGCCTCGGCCTATTTGGTGCCCCTCAAGCCTGAATGCCCCTCCTCCACTCCAGCTGTGCTTCCCGTGGCCCTGGGGTGGGCCCACTGGTTTGGCTGGCCCATTTGCCTTGCCTCCTCTGCCCCTGTCCCAGGCCCACTCTTGGCCAGAGGTGAGCTTGGTGCTTTCTCTTATATTGGTTTGAGTAATAATCACTGAGGTCTTCTGTGTATCAGGTCTGGGGCAGGGACCAGTGAGGAAAGCCAGGTGGTTGAAGTGCTGGATAGGTGGGGGGATTTGAGGAGAGAGTTCCACTGGGGCTGGGTCTTGGTGTCAGTTAAGGAGAGTGGACAAAACTGAGTGGGGAGCCATAGAGGGTTTTGTGTGAAAGGAAGAGTATGGTGAGATTTGCATTTTGGAAAGGATACTCTAGGTGATCTGCATGGATGACGGATTGGAGGAGAAACTGTTGGGAAGTCCAGGTGAGGTCTGAGCCTGGGTGGTTAGGGGCAGAGTAAAGGGGACCAATCAGAGAGGCATTATGATCATGGGTTATGATCAGGCATTATGATCATTTGATCCAGGGGATCAACTATGGAAGGGGAGGGAGAATGAGAAACAAAAGACATCCCCTTCTTCTGATGGGGGGACCTGGAGGGATGATGGGACCATCTCTGACAGGAGCACATCAGAGGAGAAGGAGCAAGGTCAGCAGGAATAAGCCAAATTTAGGTGTGAACTGTTGGCTGAGAGGTGCCCATGGGATCTCCAGATGGAAGCTCCATCCCAGATCACAGGAGAGAAAATTTGGAGATCAGACAGGTCTCAGTAGGACCATGGGGCGGCTTGGATCTCGGTGGTCTTGTCTGAGGAAGAACAGAGAGATCCTTGAGCCAAGCCCCCAACCACCACCCTCCTGCCTCTCTTCCCCTCCCCCTCCCTCTCACGTTCCCAGGGGAGGTTTGCGTCTCAGGGAAGGATTGAGGACAGGTTTTCAGGAAAATCCCAGGGTCTTCCAGCAGTCAAGCTGAGATTTTGAGCCCATGCCTGCTCATGAACTTAACTCTAGGCTCCACTCTGCCGATGGCCTTAATCAGCCAAGAGCCTGGGTGTGGGATGTGACCTTTTTCTCAGGAACTGGTGATCCCTCTCCTTCTGGAATGCTTTTTGAGAGCCTTTATGTGTGACTGCTTCTCCCAAGACCCTGAACATGTGGGCATCTCCCTCAGAACTGAGTATAGAGTTCCTCAGGTCTAGAAAGAAAAAGAAAAATTATATGTAAATAAATATGGCAATTGTGACCACTTAAGGAAATATGAACTAAGTGATGGAATTGAAGGCATCAAGAAATCTAGATTGGAGAGAGATTTTTTCCTGAATCATCACCCACTCCTGTGAGTAGCTGGCATGGTGACCATCTTACTGGGCAAGGTGATGCCCAGGGACAGAGATGAGGCTAATAAAGGCTGTGGAAGAGTTGGCATCCTGGCTCTCAGAGCACTTGGGCATTTATTAGGACAAAGCAGAGAGACAGGCTCCTCCCTAGCCCTGGGGCTGCTTGAGGGAGTAGCTCTTTGCCTTCAAAGAGACAGAAATGCAGGAGAAATGATGCAGAGCTGTCTGCTCACCTGTGCTAACAACATCCAGGTGGTGCCCTTTGGTCTGGGCCAGTGGTCGGAAACCCATTAGTCAGCAGAGTCAAATGTCAACAGCACAACGATTGACATTTCTTTTGAGAGCCAACATTTTTTAAACTTAAACTTCTTCTAACGCCACTTCTTCAAAATAGACTTGCCCAGGCTATAGTATTTTGTGGAAAGAGCCACACTCAAGGGGCCAAAGAGCCGCATGTGGCTTGCGAGTCGCAGTTTGCCGATCATGGGTCTGGGCCAAAGGTAGAAATAAGCAAATAGCATCTGCTACAGGCCAGGAGCCAGGATGTCACAAGACCTTGCCATCTGCTCCTGATGGAGGGTGAGAGGCATGTGCAGTGACAAATAGGATGGGCATGGGACAGGCCTTCAGGGTCCAGCAGCTCCCTGCCTCAGGAGTTGCCTTCAGGGTCCAGCAGATCCTTGCCCACTGTTGAGTCCTCTCCATCCTGGCTCTTACCACTCTCCTAAGCCCCCCAAAACTTCCTTTCTCAGGAACTCTTACCATTTGCAGCAGCATGGGTGGACCTGGAGATCATTGTGCTAAGTCAAATAAGCCAGTCAGTGAAAGAAAAATACCACATGCTCTCACTCATTTATGGATCATAAAGAACATTATAAACTGATGAGCAAAAATGGGCCTTGCTCCTTCTCCTCTGACATGCTCATGTCAGAGATGGTCCCATCATCCCTCCAGGCCCCCCATCAGAAGAAGAGGATGTCTTTTGTTCCTCATTCTCCCACCCCTTCCATAGTTGAGGGTGAGGGCATGTGTCCGGGTGTAGGGAAGGCCAGGGGAAGATCAATGGGGGGAAAAAAGGAGACACATGTACTACTATTTGTAAAACTTAAAAAAAAAAATACAATAAAAAAAAACTTCCTTTCTCAGACACAGCCCCTACCTCCCTTCCCAGCGCTTCTCTCATGCTGCTCTTCCTGCTTCCAGGGCTTTGCCCAAACCACAGGTCCATTTCAAGATCCTGCCCAAATCTTACCCAACAGATCACAGAACCTTCCCCAACCCTGTTCTCAACTGGGAGGACCTTCTCCCCTCAGCTCCCATAGTCTCTCTGAACAGGCAGCAAAGTTAGTTACTAGGACAATATCTCAGCTCTGGTTGAGATCTCTGAGGTCAGGGCTTCTTGAGAGGTAGTCTCTTCCCTCCCTGCCCCCAGGTTTCCTATACAGAGCATCCTCATAGTTATGGAGTAAGTGGGTGAGTCAGTGAAGGAGCAGGCAGGAAACGAGAGGAGTGGGAGTGGGTGGATTGATGAGTAAGCAGCCTGGTGGCTCAGCACAGTCCCTCAGCATCAGTGAGAACACTTCACGGTGAGATGAGGACACCTTCCTTGCCCTTGGGCCCTTAGTCTCCAGGCCTGGAGTGGATAGATATTTCCATGATTTGATTTTCTGGACCATTCTTAAGACCCTTGTGGGATCTTGGAGGAGGCCCTGAGAAGGAGGAGGAGTGGAAGAGAGGCAAAGGACCCCTCCTCAACTTCTTGTGCAAAACTGGGAATGGGAGGTGGACTTTAGGCAGCTGAGAGCCCAGTGGGAGCCACTTGAGGGATGCAACCCCCGAATAGCATTTGCAGTGTAAGGTTGTGTTGGTCTGTTTGCTTATTAGTCTAGTTCACAGTCTCTCTATCTACTCACATATTTATGCTCCTAACTAAGTCTTCAGCCTTCCCTCTTTCCTTCCTTCCTTCCTTCCTTCCTTCCTTCCTTCCTTCCTTCCTTCATTCCTTCCTTCCTTCCTTCCTTCCTTCCTTCCTTCCTTCCTTCATTTCCTTTCCTTTCATCTATTCATAAATTCATCATCTATCCATCTGTTCATCCATCCACTCATCTGTCTATCTATCCTACCAGCCATCCTTCTTTTCATTCACTTATTTTGCACTCATCACATATACATCTCCTTGTTCATCCATTTAGTTTCTTCTGAGAATCAGGACCAGTATTGAGTGCTCCTTCACTGACTCACCCACTTACTCCATAACTATGAGGATAAAACAACTGTAGTTTCTGCATTGAGAAACTTGTAGTTGAAGGATAGTGCATTAGAGCAAGAAAAGCAATGGCTGCCTGGCTGGTGTTGCCCAGTGATTAAGCGTTGACCCATGAACCAAGAGGTCATCAGTTTGATTCTAGTCAAGGCACATGTCTGGGTTGGGGCCTGATAACTAGTAGGAGGCTTGCAGGAGGGAGCGAATGGATGATCTTCTCCCATCAATGTGGGATAGATAGCTCTTTATCCCTCTCTCCTCCTTTCTAGAAGTCAATTAAAAAAAGAAAAGAAAAGCAATGGCCTCATTGTGCTGTGCCCTGGTCTGATCATTGGGGCCAGTTTTGGCCAACCCACTAGAACAGTAACTCTGTGAGGAGAGAGATTTTCCTCACAGAAGAAAATCCACTATGTTCCCAGTCCCTAGAACAGTGCCTGGCACATTGTAGGTGCTCAACAAATATTTGTTGAGTAAATGTACTACCGAGGAGCCCAGACAAGTTGGGAGAGCTTTGGGGTGGCTATTGTGGGGGCACTGTAAGGGGCAGGGGAATGGTGGCTGGATTCAATGATCGCTGATGTCCATTTCATCTGGACAGTCCATAAGTGATTAACCCAGCACTCTCCTGCTCCAGAATCCAAGCCCTGGGGGTCATCTGACCCTAGCTGCTCTCTACCCAGGTGAGAACCGTTGGCCCTGCGATGGCAAGAGACCACCTGGGGTCACATGGGAGGCAGAGGCAGAGGCAGAATAGAACCCAGGCCTCGGGATCCCAGCCAGGGGTTCCCTCCTTCCTTTGTCTTCTCTTTTGGAAGAAGGATCTGTTTTTAGGTCAGACAGAAAGTTCCTCTTGATGGGCAGGAGACAGGAAGGTGAGAGCCAGTGTATCAGCCAACACTGTCCCCTTTCCCCTTATGCCCATTTCTGGATTAGGTGAGCCTTCCAGGCTTGTCTGTGGCTGGAGGAGAGGAAAAGAGAGGAATTCCCCAGGCTAAGCCTGGGTTTCCCTCCTCCCTGCCCCACTGCAGGGGTGGCTGTGTTGGGTGGCCTCCTTTTGGAGCTAATTCCTGGAGCTGGTTTGGCAGAAACAGACCCAGAGGGCTGAGAGGAGAGCAGAGCAGCATGGAGAGTGGCATGAGCTGGAGGCTGGACATGAGGAGTCAGCTTCTCTGACTAACTTGGCTCAGGGGTGACTGTGAATGAGGGGCTTCTCCATACTGGGCCTTGGTTCCCCCTTCTGTAGAATGGGGCCACCACCCCTCTTCTGCTCTCCTCCCTTGAACTTGAAATGACTGGGACTGCACTTTGAGAGCTCTTCTGTGGTCTTGGGTATTGATCCTCTAGGCCTGGGAGGGAGGCAGGCAGTGAAGATGCTTAGGAGAGAGGCCACCTGGTCAGGAGGCTCAGGCCAGGCCAGGTCATGGAGCTGGGTCACAGCCAGCACTTACACTGCAGCGGCCATGGGTGGGGTGTTGCTGCCACCGAGGTCATCCTCAGCCTGATCCTCACCATCCTGGTTGTCACGAGAAGGCGTGTCTCTGAGTGTGTGATTGTGGGTTCTGAGAGCATGCGTGTCTGCATTTGTGGGTGTGTCTGAAGGCAGGCCCCTTCCTCATCCCTCCACTGCTCCTCACCTTCACTTCCAAAGTGCTTTACTGAGTTTCCCTTCCTGACAAGGATTCCCAGCATGAGAGATGATAGAAGGGGGTAGCATGGGGGGAGGGGACTGTACCTAAGCAGCCAGTGTAACTCCAAGAAAGGCCCCTGTAGATCTTAGGGACTTAGGACTTCTCGGGAAGGTTCAGAGGTGGGAGGGGCAATGGGGTGTGAGGATGGAGGAATTAGTTCTCATTGGCATGTTCCCCATCCCTGCTGGGTCTTCTGCACCTGGGGACAGCTGCAGACAGGAAAACCCCCCTTCAGTGGTAGGCCACCCCAGCAGAAACCACTGGATCCATCCAGCCAGTATTTCTAGTGAGAAGTCACCCAGAGCAGCTTTGAATCCAGGCTCTGCCACCTACCTGCCGTGTGGCCTCAGAGCCTCCACATGCCCACCTATTTAACGTGGGTGAGAAGGACAGTACCCACTTCTCGGGGCTGCTGTGAGGGCTAAGCAAGAGTCCAGCATGGAGCTGGTGGGTAGCACCGTGGCAGCAGGGCTGCAGGACACGCAGGGGGAAGGCCTTGCTCCCGCCCTAATGGCCTTGCTTGGTTGTCCCCTCAGCGCACACTTCTTCCTGGAGATAGAAGGGTTTGAGCCCAACCCCACTGTCGCCAAGACCTCTCCTCCCATCTTCTCCAAGCCGATGGATTCCAACATCCGGCAGTGGTGAGTACCCCCCGCTGCCCAGCCCCTTGCCCCGGCTGGCCCTCAGCTCCAGAGGATGGCAGTGACTGGCCCTGGCCCACAGGGATGGGCCTGGTTGTGACATGCTAACATGGTTCATTTTTCAAGTCATCCCCTTTTCCTCTCTTCCCTCTGCCCTCCAGCCTCTCTGGCAACTGTGATGACATGGACTCCCCACAATCTCCTCAGGATGATGTGGCAGAGACCCCATCCAACCCCAACAGTCCCAGGTGAGCCTGCCCTTCCCCTCCTCCCAGTGCCCAGCAGGCCGTTGCTGGGAGGACAGGCACTGGAACCCCGAAGAAAAGAGAAGAAAGCCGCCATTCTTGGGCGCTGGGACAAATGTCTGGGCCCATGGCTGTGACGTGTAGGAAATTTATTGGGGGAGGGAAGTGTTACACTTGATACCCGTCCATTACAGTAGGCAGCACAATGGGAACTTAAGGAAATACCATGTATGTAAATTTAAAATGCATGGTCTGCCTATCGCCTGGAGGATGGTGGTGAAACACCAAGCAAGTGTACATTTTGCAAGAACACACACAAACAAAGGATACACGCCAACACATTGCCATGGTTGCCTGTTTGGCGTCTGGGGGCAGGAATGATAAAAACAATCAAACAACACAAAATATGAAAATGAGGTTTTCCTTCCCCTAATCCCATACTTCCAAGGTAATTACTCGTATCCTTCCTATTCACTCCCATGTGTATCCAACCATGCCTTTTGATAGATGTGGTTGCATTTGGACTTGAAGGGGAGACTGTGTAGGCTGCCTTGGATCCCAGGAGCCTCGGGTGCGAATGGAGAAGCTGTGACAGGCACGCGGAGACATTGGGGGTGCAGTGTCCTGTAGGCAGTGTGGGAAGGGAGGAGAGGGTAGGGGTGGGCATGCGCGTGTGGTGAACTGGGAAAGGTTTCTGGCTTCAGTGCAAACCTGGCTAAAGAAGAGCAGAGGCGGAGAAAGAAGAGGCTGAAGAAGTGCCTCTTCGCGGCCGTGTCCGAGGGCTGCGTGGAGGAGCTGGTGGAGCTGCTGGTGGAGCTGCAGGAGCTTTGCAGGAGGCGCCGCAACCTGGACGTGCCCGGTCAGTGCCAGGCCCTGGCAGAGGGTGCGGGGCTGGGGTGCCCGCTTGGCTCCTGCTGCCCACCTTCCCTCCCACCGACCTGTGGGGCTGGCGTGTGAGGAGCCTTGAGTGACGGGTTAGGGACTTTGAACCTGACTCTGAGGGCAATGGGGAGCCATGGAAGGGCTGAGACAGGTGAGGGTCGTGGTCTGGTTACGGCCTGGAGGATGGGGGTGAAGCTGGAGGAGGCTGCTGTCCAGGTAGAGTTAGGACCCCAGAGGAGGGCTGAGGGACGGGAACAGCATTCAGGCAGCGACACTGGCAGGACTCAAGGACATGGGCAGTGAGGGCGAGGAAGGAGTCGGGCGGTGCCAATGGTGACTTGGTGGATGCTGAAGCTCAAGCTGTTCAGGGCCGTGGTTGGCAAACTGCGGCTTGCCACATGCGGCTCTTTGGCCCCTTGTGTGTGGCTCTTCCACGAAATACCACGGCCTGGGCCAGTCTATTCTGAAGAAGTGGCATTAGAAGAAGTTTAAATTTAAAAAATTTGGCTCTCCACAGAAATGTCAATGGTTGTCCTGTTGATATTTGGCTCTGTTGACTAATGAGTTTGCCGACCACTGGGTTAGGGGACTTGGGGAGTAGCAGTTAGGGCGAGTCGTTGAGCTCTATTTGAAGGCTACCAGGAGGGGGCAGGCTGCAGACTTCAGGGTGTCTGTCTGCTTCTAGACAGTGGGAAGCCCTGATGAGACTGCCTCCTGCCAGGGAGTGGGTGTAGAAGCCAAAGAGGGAAAGATGAGGCTTTCCTGGACCTCTGGGGAGGAGGAGCCAGCGAAGGAGCTGGAGAGCCGTGTGTGTGGGCTCAGGGAGGCCAGCGGGGGCCATGCAGGTCTGAGGCTGCAGCTTCCTTATCCTGGGCTCCCCTCCTCGGGGCCCCTCCTACAGCTGCCCCCTGTGATCTCGCCCGCAGACTTCCTCATGCACAAGCTGACGGCCTCCGACACCGGGAAGACCTGCCTGATGAAGGCCTTGCTCAACATCAACCCCAACACCAAGGAGATCGTGCGGATCCTGCTCGCCTTTGCCGACGAGAACGACATCCTGGACAGGTTCATCAACGCCGCGTACACCGAGGAGGCCTACGAAGGTACCTGCCTAGGGGAGGGGGGTGTAGACAGCGGGTGACGGCCAGGCCACACAGATCACGGAAAGCCCAAAGCACATAGCGTGGCACTCGGCTCTTGTCTCTTCCTTCCCTCATTCGGCAAATAATTTTGAGCACCGACCACATGCCAGGCATTGTTGTTGGCACCGGGGTGCAGTGGAGAGCATGATAGAGGAAGGCCCTGGCTCTACAGAAGGTAATTTTATATGGAAAAACACTTTGAACATAAAATGAAAGAAGTCCATGTGACACAAAGTAACTGGGTTAGTGGGGGGCTGTGGGCAACGTTAGGGTGGATGGTGAGAGAGGTGGGCCTCTGATCTGAGGTTTGTCTGATGAGAAGGATCCAGAACAAGGCAAGAGCACTGGCTTGAGATAGGAAGGACCTAAGTACATTTGAGTGATGGAGAAAGAAACCTGGAGATGAGGTGAGAGAGCTGGGCAGGGCCAACACATGGCAACTATTAGTGTCGCCACTGTCTTTATTATCAACGGCCCCATTTGGATCTCAGCTTCGTGGCTTCTCTCTCAGGTGGACCAGGGAGGAGCCAGGAGACCCGCTGGGATAGTGTTTCCCTGCCCAGGAAATACGTTGTGAATAATCTGTAAGGTGGATCCTCGTTTGAATTTTTGAGTCAATAAACATCCCGTTGGGATCTAAGGAGATGCTTGTGCAAAAATGTTGGGCTCAGGGATTCCTGATGCTGCCTTCATGACATGCCAGGGGCACGAGGCGTCTCAACTTCTTGCAGGTTGGGGGTCTACGTCGGGCCCTTACCTTTTCTCATGGGATAAAGCCATTTCATTGTTTTTTAATTTATTTAAGCTCGGCAGAGTTTCGTAAGAGTTTTTGTTATATATATAAAAAAGGCAAGGATTATGAAAAACTCAGAGCTACCAATTGGAAGAGAGGAAAGTTGGGGAATATTGTTGCAACTGAGTGCAGAACTGCACACTGAGTTCCCTGGTAGCCAAAGAGAAGAGAGAAATGGGATGAGCCATATAATGTTTCCGCTTGTCCCTAGGGAGCTGATACTAGCCCTGTAGCCAAGGAGGGCTGGGCCAGTGCCTCCAGCTTCTCTGTCCTGACTGGTCTCCCTTTTCAGGCCCCTTCTCTCCCCTCTTCTTGTCAGTCTGTAGGGGCTCACAGACTCCCATTTCTAGCAGCATCTTCTCTTTGAGGGCAGGGAGGGACTCTGTCTTCCCCACAGTGGATCCTTTGATGCCCTCGGGCCTCACATAAGAGGTCCTTAATAAATATGCTTTGAATAAGTGAATAAATGAAGATTAGTGTCTCTATGAAGGCTTTGGCTGGAAATCCTACCCCTCTCCTTTCTCAGCCTCCCCTTGTCCTTTCCATCTTGCACGGATCTATGTCTTGCTGGTGGGTTAGTGGGGGGCTGTGGGCACCCAGTCTTTCCCTGCATGGTGGGAAGAACCATTTATCGCTATTGTGGGGGACACAACCCTCTCCCCCACTGTCCCTCCTGATGGTATCCACTGATCCCTTCCTTTCCCTGTTCTAGGCACTGCTTGCACCAGGGACTGCAAGAGTAGCACTTTTCCTTACCTTGGGCAATCAGCTGGCTTTTCTGAGCCTCAGTTTCCCCACCTGGCAGAGGCTGATATTTTCTCTCTATACTGCTAAGAGGATACAATGACAGTTTTTTAAAATATTGTTTTTAGCATTTTATCAGAGGTCTTCGATCAGACCGTCAAACCTAAGAGGGAAGATAGGGGAAGGTGGAGCGATAAGGACACATATGTAACACTTTAATCAATAAAGAAAAAAGGGACTAACTTTTTAAAAAACAATTTAATTAAAATTTTTATTGAAAAATTTAAACATACATTTGAAATATTGGCATAATGAACTTCTAGATATTCATCATTGAGATTCAGCATAACGATTTATTTTTAATTACATAAATAGTACATGAATAGAATTTCATTGTAAAACATTTGAATATTTTAATTAAGTTAAAGAGGAATGCTTCACTTGTTTCTCAGCCTCCTCTCCAGAGATGATTACTATAGGGTGTATGCTTTGAGGACTTTCCTAGGTTTTTTGACATATGTCTGTATGTGCACATAGAAATAGATAGCTTTATTTATTCATTTATCTAGAGGCCTGATGCACGAAATTTGTGCAAGCGTAGGCCTTTCTTCTCCTGGCTGCCAGCACCTGCTTCCCTCTGGCACCTGGGACCTGGGCTTCCCTTGCAGCCCTGGCTTCCTCTGGAAGGTTGTCCAGAAGAATGTCTGGTCTAATTAGCATATTATGCTTTTATTATTATAGACTAGAGGCCCCATGCATGAGATTCATGCACTGGAGATGGGTCTCTGTGCATGAATTGCTTGTGCCCTCTCACAGTCAAGGAGCCCTCAGGGGATGTCTGACTGACAGCTTAGGCCCACTCCATGCAATCGAACATCCATAATGCTCTGCAGAGGTGGGAGAGGCTCCCACCACCACCGCTGCTGTGTTCGCCAGCCATCAGCCTGGCTTGTGGCTGAGCTATGCTCCCCCTGTGGGAGTGCACTGACCACCAGGGGGCAGATCCTGTGTTGAGTGTCTGCCCTGTGGTGATCAGTGTGCATCATAGTGATGGGTTGTTCTGCTGTTCGGTTGATTTGCATATTAGCTTTTTATTATATAGGATCTATAGGCTAGAGCAGTATTGCACTGTTCTACAACTTACTTTTTTTGCAGATTAACTATACATCTTAGACAACATCTCATGTCAGAATATTAAAGTCAGCCTCCTCTTTACCTGCTTAGTCTGAGTATAACTGTTTCCCCCTGGACAGACATCCAGGTTGTTTCCAGTATTTTGTATGACAATGTCTAGATGCACACTCTTGTCTATGACCTTGTGCCCAGGGTGCACATGTTTTAGGGAAAGACTTTGAATTGGCCTTTCTGGGTCCAGAGGCATGCACATTTAACATTAGAATGGTTATTGCCTTGGCTAGTGTGGTTCAATTGATTGGGTGTTATTCTGTGCACTGAAAGGCTGTTGGTTCGATTCCTAGTCAGGGCACATGCTTGAGTTTTGGGCTCGATCTTTGGTAAAGGGCGTGCAGGAGGCAGCCAATCTATTTTTGCTCTCACACTGATGTTTCTCTCTCTCTCTCTCCCTCTTCTTTCCTATCTAAAAATAAAAAATAAAATAAAATTAGCATGCTTGATAAATTTGCCATCAAGAAATATTACTTTAACTCGCCCCTCTCAAAAGAGTACAAAGGTACTCCTTCCTCCTACTCTTAATTAATCCTTTTTTTTTTTTTTTTTTAGTCTTTAACTCATTAGGTTCAAATTTTAATTTTCCTGATTACCAGTGATTCTGAATATCTTTCAGTTTCTTTATTGGCTATGTGTATTTTCTTCTCTGAGGGGTTCTTAATATTCTTTTCTTGTTTCCTTTTAGCCTGTTTGTCTTTCTTATTGATTTGTAGGGCTCTTAATATATTAAGGACTTTAAAAAACACATTGTCTATTTTATATGTCTCAAATATTTTCCCTGGCCTACCAATTGCCTTTTAAGTTTCTTTTAAGATGTCTTTCAAAATACAGAAATATTTAATTTTTATGTAAGCAAACATGTCATTTTTTAATTTATGGTTTCTGCATTTTGGATCTTGCTTAAGAAGGTTTTCTGTACCAAAAGGTTAGTTATAAGCAAATTTTCCAATTTAAAAAAAAAGCCTATTTCTTTAACCCACCAGGAATTTATTTTTCTGTATGGCAAGACAGCAACTCTGGGAAATACTGTTTATGATGGGACATTCTGAGATACAGCGGCGCGCCCCCCCCCCCCCCCCCCACACACACACCAAGGTTCTGAAGGCTCTACCTACCAACAGGGTTAATGTCCCTTCTCCACCCGCCTGCTCCTTGACCCCTGTTCCGTCCTCAGTCCCCAGCACCAGACACTCAGCTCCCAGGCCAGACACCGGAACCTAACCTGAGACACCCCTTCTTCCCCAGGCCCCACAGACCACCTTGAGGACTCTTTCTCCTAGGGTTCTCCGCTCACCCGGAGCAGAGTTCCACATAGGTCTGGGATCTTGTGAAGGCCTCCTCCAATTTTGCAGGCAGAGTGGTCTAAAAACGCACATGCACTCAATCCCAAACTCGGGTCATGCCACTTTCCTGCTTCCACACCTGCTGCCTCCCCTGGCCCTGAGGGTCAGGTTCTAAGGTTCACCTGGCTTATCAGGCCGTGAGCCGGCCCCAGCGACCTTGTTAGACGTACCCAATGGCGGCCTACAGGCCCTCGGCCTCGGGACTGGGTGCAGAGCCCCTGCCCCGGTCCTGGAGCGCCCCCTTCTGGGTGGTAGCGAGACTGTGCTGCTGCCAAAGGAGAAGCCAAACTGCATCTCCTTGGGCACTGTGTCCCCAAGCCCAGGCGGGCGGCTTACTTCGCCATAATTCCGCGGAGGGCGGGAAAGAGGCCAGACAGGGGTCACCAGGGTCTCAGCGGCTCGCTGAGCGCCCCCCCCGCCATCCCCTGGTCCCCCACCCTGTGCGCAGGGCAGACGGCGCTGAACATCGCCATCGAGCGGCGGCAGCGAGACCTCACCGCGCTGCTCATCGCGGCCGGCGCCGACGTCAACGCCCACGCCAAGGGGGTCTTCTTCAACCCCAAGTACCAGCACGAGGGCTTCTACTTCGGTGGGTGCGCGGCCAGGCTGGGCTGGGGCTGGGCTGAGGCGGGGTCCGGGAGGAGGGCGGAGGGGGGCCGCCCCCAGACTGGGCCCCCAGAGGCGCTAGGGGCTGGGGCTGGGGGCCTGCTCTGAGCTGTCCGGGGTGCAGAACCTGGTCCAGAGTGGGGGCCGGGCGACCCTTGTGAATTGGGCCGGTGAGGGCGGGGCTGGGGGGTGGCGAGCCTGCAGGGAGGGAGTTTCTAAGAAGGCACCCAGTGGTCTGAGAGGAACAGGGACCTGGAGGGAGAAGCAGGCAAAGCCCTAGGTCACAGGAGAGGAGAAGGCTCTGAGCAGGGAGTGAGCTGCCCAGGGAAGGAGGACGGGTGTGGGCGTCCTGGCCGCCAGCTCTGGCCTCTGGCCTCTGTGCTCAGGGCCTCGGGACTGCAAACCCAGTCAAGAGGGTGAGTATGAGAATCCTCTGACCGACAGGGTAGGGAGTCCAAAAGCAATCGGGGTTGGGATGTTATAGGCCAGTGGTCTGCAAACTCATTAGTCAGCAGAGCCAAATATCAACAGGATGACGATTGAAACTTTTTTGGAGAGCCAATTTTTTAAACTTGAACTTCTTCGAACACCACTTCTTCAAAATAGACTCACCCAGGCCGTGGTATTTTGTGGAAGAGCCACCCTCAAGGGGCCAAAGAGCCGCATGTGGCTCGCGAGCCGCAGTTTGCCGACCACAATTGTAGGTGAACGATATTTTTTCCGTGTGTAATTTAGATGGAGTGAAACTCAGCCATTTTAATTTACAATTCTGTTTGTTGCCACACATGCATAGCACCAGGCTCGGGCAGGGAACACACAGCTCAGACACACCAAACATCTTCCTGGGACAACTTTGTATTCAGCCTTGCTTCCCACCCCACCCCAGCCCTGATTGTCTGACAACCATTGACCGGTTTTCTCTTTGGGTGGTTTTTGCATCAGCAGGGCTAGATGGGTCTGGGTGGCCGTGAGGACAGGCCTTGTCCAATCCATCGCCCAAGATTGGGTCTGGTTGGAGCTGGTGCTGGGAAACATGTGTTGGGTGGGATGAGAAAGGGGGCAGGACCGAGTTTGGGGGGTGAGCTGCAGGAGACCTGCCGTCCAGTCCTGGCTTCGCCTCGGGCTTGCTGTGTGACCCGGCGTGTGTCACCTGCCTCCATTCTTAAGTATTCCTCGATCACTCACTATACACAGAAGGTACTGTTCTACGCGTTTGAAATGTTGTCGCTGAGCAAAACAAAGGTCCCTCCCTGCATGGAAGTTAACATTCTAGATGGGAAAGAGAACATCAGTGATAAACACAGTAAAATGTTAATTAACATGCTAGAAAATGACAAATGCTATTGGGGGGGAAAAAAAAAGTAAAGCAGGAGAAGTGGAAGCAGAGTTCTAGGGCAGCCAGGAGGTGGGTTTCAATTTTTAAATAGGACAGTTAGGGTGACTCATTGAAAAGGTGACATTTGAAGAAAGACTTGGAGGAAGTGAGGGAGGGAGGGATGCAGATATCTGAGAAACAGCATTACAGGTAGGGGAACAGCCTGTGCAAAGGCCCTGAGGCAGGGAAATGCTTGGTGTGTTTTAGAGAAGGGGTTATTGCCATGGTCGGCAAACTGCGGCTTGAGAGCCACATTCGGCTCTTTGGCCCCCTGAGGGTGGCTCTTCCACAAAATACCACGGCCTGGGTGAGTCTATGTTGAAGAAGTGGTGTTAGAAGAAGTTTAAGTTTAAAAAATTTGGCTCTCAACAGAAACGTCAGTCGTTGTACTGTTGATGTTTGGCTCTGCTGACTAATGAGTTTGCCGACCACTCGCAACCGTTATTGCAATGATCTAGCTTCAGTTTCTTCCCATCAGGGGGGGCTGGGGAGAGGAAGCCTCAGGGGTCTATCCTCCTGAGATGGTCAGGATAGGGGCTTCAGTCCTGGGACCTGGGGAATACCACTCTGGTCCATGAGAGAACCGAACCCCAGTATTCTCCTCCCCCCAGGCGAGACGCCCCTGGCCTTGGCAGCGTGTACCAACCAGCCCGAGATCGTGCAGCTGCTGATGGAGAACGAGCTGACAGACATCACCTCGCAGGACTCCCGGGGCAACAACATCCTCCACGCCCTGGTGACGGTGGCCGAAGACTTCAAGACACAGAACGACTTCGTCAAGCGCATGTATGACATGGTCTTGCTGAGGAGTGGCAACTGGGAGCTGGAGACCATGCGCAACCGTGACGGCCTCACCCCGCTGCAGCTGGCCGCCAAGATGGGCAAGGCCGAGGTGGGGCTTGGGGGCAGGTGGGAGGGCAGGGGGCACTCTACCGGCTGCCAGCCTGAGGCCCCATAGGTCACGCCTCGGCCAGGGGAACGTCTTAGGCTCAGAAGGGCAGCTGTGGCCGAGCGGGGCTTGTTCTGATGGCCGCACCGAGCCGCCGAGAGGCGGTGCGTAGGCCCACCCTCCGGATTTAGGCCCTCGCACTCCGTGTTTCTTCTGTCTTCCCCAGAGTGGGGGAGCCTTAAGGCTGCATGGCACAATCTCCAATGCCTGTGGCTGAGGATTCCTGGGTGGTGGGTGCTGAGTGTGGCTGAGTGTCTGACTTTGGGGGGGGGCGGGGGGGCTTCAGCCTCCCAGGAGGACAGGAGCCCCAGAATGGCTGCTCGGGATCCGGAGCTGATGGGCTGCTAGTCCCGTCTCTGGAGCGATCCCAGCCTGCCCCTCGGGTGGAAACGCTGAGCCAAGAGCCCAGCAGAGCACGTGACTGCTATGGCCCTTTGTGCTCGTGCGATGTGGCCATGGAACTCAAGGCTTACCCGGGAGCCTTGGTGGAGACTGGAGCTGGGGCGGGCTCACACCTCCTGGTGGTTGGAGCCACGCTTGGTCTGAGATCAAGGTGGGGGGTGGGGGTGGGGAACGGACGCCCCAAGGGCCTTGGACCCTGGTTTAGTGGTCAGGGCTGGTCCCACAAGGGACCTTTTCATTGTCTTGTTGGGGGAGGAGGGAATGGAGAACAGCTTTGACAAAGGAGGAATTGTGTTACCCCCTCCCCCCCTCCTCTCTTTCTGTGCTTAAGACACAGACACTGACTTTGGGGAGCTCTCTGCCTGGGCTGTGCAGACAAGGCTTCTGTGTGAGAGGAGATGGGAGCCCCACTGACTCACGTGAGACCAGGGCTCTGGCACTGTCCTCTTTAACAGGTCCCTCCTGCCGGGCCTTGGGAAGCCCTGGCTCCCAGGGTGCTAGGATACCCCAAAACACAGCTTTCGGGGCATAGTGAGCTGGAGAGCAGGCTACCCATCCGGCCTGCCCCTTGGAACCACCCAGGGATCTTTACAAGCTCCAGATGCCTGGGCTCCCTCTAGAGACTTGGACTGAGTCAGTCAGTGGTGTGGGACTATGTATGCATGTATTTATTTATTTACTAGAGGCCCGATGCATGAAATTCGTGCAAGAGTAGGCCTTCCTTCCCCTGCCTGCCAGCACCGGCTTCCCTCTGGCACCTGGGACCCAGACTTCCCTCACAGGGAGGCCCCGTCCACCCATTGCAGCCCGCCAGTGGGTGGCCTGGGCCTTCCTCTTTGGGGAGATTGTGGAGCCCCTTGATTGATTGCCCCACAGACTCGTGGCCTGGGCCTCCCAGGGTGGGGAGAACATGGGGAGACGGCTGCTGCCCCTGACCAATTGCATTGCACCCGCCTGGCTGGCCTGGTGTTAGTGGGTGTCATAGCGTGACCCAGATGGTTGTCGGGATGGTCATCTGGATGGTCGTTCCACTGTTCGGCTGTTGGGTTGATTTGCATGATACACTATTATTATATAGAATTTTTGGAGAGAGCAGGAGGGGGAGAGACAGAAAGAGAGAAACATCAATTCGAGAGAGACACATTGATTGGTAGCCTCCCAACCAGGCCAGGAATTGAGTCTGCAGCTGAGGTACGTATTCTTGACTGGAATTGAGCCGGGGACCCTTCAGTTCACAGGTCAATGCTCTATCCACTGAGCCAAACCAGCCAGGGTGAAGTGGGACTTTTTAATGTTCCCACAATGATCTATGCAGCAGAGTTTGAGGATCACTGACTTAGAGGGCCCCCCCGCCTCTCTGTAAGGCTGGTGTCTTACATCTCCGTGTGTCTGGCCAGAGCAGGGAGCCTCAGCTGGCAGGTCTTGATTGAGGGTGGGATGGGGAAGCTGGAAGACTTCTAGTTTCTCCTCAGATCCAGGCCTAGCAGAAATTATCTCCCATAATTGTAGATTCCCAGATTCTTCACTGAACTGGGTTTTAAGAGCCTCTTCCTGGCTCCATTCTGTGGCTGAGAGTTGTCCCACTTCCTGTCCCCAGATCCTGAAGTACATCCTCGGTCGTGAGATCAAGGAGAAGCCACTCCGGAGCTTGTCCAGGAAGTTCACCGACTGGGCATATGGGCCCGTTTCATCCTCGCTCTACGACCTCACCAATGTAGATACCACAACCGACAACTCGGTGCTGGAAATCATTGTCTACAATACCAACATTGACGTGGGTCTCCCGGGGCTGGGGCAGGGCCCGGGGGAGGGGCGGGCTCTGGGGACACTGGGGAGACCCTATGCCTCTAGCTGGACATGCCTGCAATCCCCCATTCCTTTGCCTCAATGGGCAGAGTTGGCACAATATGGCAGGGCCTGTGTGGGGTTCGCTTGTTCCCAGGGCTCCTTGGGTGAGGGTCTCCTGGCCCCAGCGTCCTGGGCCGTGCGGATCTGGTCGTGGGAGTGGGGATGGCTAGTGTTGATCTTCTCCTCCCCCACCCTCCCCTACCACCACCCTACTCATTCTCTGTGGCCATGCTTGGAATCCCCTTTCCCCCCAAACCTGGCCCCAAGTGAGGAACAGGGAGTGCATAGTTGTGGCAATCAGGGAAGCCTCCCTGGAGGAGGCAAGAAGGGGCGGTGAGGGGAAGCGATAGGATCAGCAGTGAGAGCTTTGGCTTTGGGGGAAAATGAACCTTCAGTCTTTACATTTTACCAAGAATCATGCTTCCCAGAGCTTGCCTTGCCTGGGTTCTTCATGGACCCTCCGGGCAGCCTAGTGGGCAGGGCAGATTGATGGATATCCGTTACATAGATGAGGAGATGCAGGACCAGAAAGGTCAGGGGCTTTCCTAAGGTTACATAGCGAAGAGGGGCTCAGTTGGAGCCAGACCCTCAGGCATACTCCTTCTCCCTTCCAGCCCTTGCTTCCCACAGAGCAGACCAGCCGATGCTCCCATTGGGAGCCCAGCTCCTGAGGCATTCGGGCCCGTGGGCAAGGAGCCTCGGGGAGCTGGGAATTGCTCTCCTGACATTTCCTGCGGGACCAGTTCATTGGACAGAATGACTGCCCCCTGCTGGGCAGTGCTGCCTCAGAGCTTCCTTTGAAATGGGGGCCTTTGACAATGGTTCCTCCCCGCTTGGTCTCCGTGGTGACTGTGGCCGTGTACCCCCAGAACCGGCACGAGATGCTGACCCTGGAGCCCCTGCACACGCTGCTGCGTATCAAGTGGAAGAAGTTTGCCAAGTACATGTTCTTCCTGTCCTTCTTCTTTTACTTCTTCTACAACATCACGCTGACGCTCATCTCCTACTACCGACCCCGGGAGGAGGAGGTACGTGGGCCCCTTGATGGGGAGGGTGGGGGGGGGGTCAGGGCTGCAGGAGCGTGGAGCCGCCCCATGTGCAAATGGGGAAACCGAGGCCCAGAGAGGCCCAGAGATTTTCTTGGGCTTCCCTAATCAATGGTCATCCCTCACAGTTCCTAGGGAACTGGTTATGTCTCTGGAGCTTAGTTGGGCTTAGCCCCAGGTGCTCAGCCCCAGGCTGACCCATGATGGCAGGAGAACTAGGGGATTCAGAGACCCAGAGCCCAGGCTCTGTCTAAATCTAGAGCTGATTGGGTGTTTCTGATGTGAGGGCCACAGGATATGGGAGTGGGGCAGTAAGGGGGGAGAGGGGGCGGGGCAGGTCACTTACACAAGACTTCCCACCACCCTGGGCCTTAGCTTCCATCCATTGGCGCAGAGTTTCAGCTTTATTTGACTGTGATGAGGTCCTGTGAGTGTCTGAATATGGATGGGTCCTGTAAGGAGGTGTGAGGGCTGTGACATGTTCCTCGCTGCGGAGATCTGGATTCCCAACGTGGGTGGGGGAAGCAGGGCCCGGGTCTGCCATTCCTCCTCAAGCCCTGTGCAGAGATCGGGCTCCCTGCTGGCTCCAGCCCAGCCCGAGGGTTCTGCAAGGTCCCTCCAGAGCTGGCACTACCCCTGCCCTCCTTACTCCCCATTCTGCACCCTCCATTCTTCCCCTTCTCCCCAGGCCCTGCCACACCCCTTGGCCCTGACGCACAAGATGGGGTGGTTGCAGCTCCTGGGAAGGATGTTTGTGCTCATCTGGGCCATGTGCATCGCAGTGAAGGAGGTGAGTGGGCCACTGAATCCTCCGGACTGGCCTGCGATGCAGGCAGGTGACAGCAGGCTTGGTTTTGATCCCTCTCTGTTCTGCCATTACTGCTGGGGGGCTCTGGGGAGCCACCCCCTTTCTTAGATTTCTTAGTCACAAAGTGGAAATAAACAATCAAGCAGGTCTATCTTACCTACTTCATCTATGTACCCCTCCACCCATCTGTCCATCTATTTGCCATTTATCTACCCATCCGAGCCACTCAGTAACCCATCTTCCTCTCCTCTCTGTCCACTCATTCAACCACTTGGGCTCTGGCGGGGCCTTCACACACTGAGTCTCAGGCCTGGGGAGAGCCCCCATCCTCAGACACCCCTCCACCCCACAACTGAGAGACAGGAAGAGGCTGAAGCCTTCCTTTCCTTTCTGGCCTCAGGGCATCGCGATCTTCCTGCTGAGACCCTCAGATCTGCAGTCCATCCTCTCGGATGCCTGGTTTCACTTTGTCTTGTAAGTAGGCCCGTCCCCTTGGCCGCCAGCTCACAGGCAGGGCTGAGGTCCTATGTGGTGGTCGCTGTGTCCCTCTGAAACGAGTGCCCTCCCACGTCGCCCGGTCCCAGCCAATTTGCTACGCTCCCACGGCTAGGGACCGCCTTTCTCACTTCTGGTAAGAGAGACACATACCTAGATACCCAGAGAGAGGCCCAGAAAACACTAGGACAGTGCCCTCATCTGGCTGCAGGGATGGCTGACTCCACCCTGTCCTGGAGCCCCAGGTGGCAGGCAGTGGGGGAGGGCACGGAGAGGCTCAGCACTGCTGTTTCCCTTCTTATGGAGGGTTCCTGCCCACTTCCTCCAAGTTGCATGGGATCTAGAAGTACCATCTTGGACCCTGGCAGACCAGAGCTGGAAAGTGTTTGAGGAATCACTGAGTCTCATTTGCTGATAGGGAAACCGAGGCCCAGAGCAGGGAAGCAAGTCCCTCCCAGTCACTCTGAATGTCAGTGGTACTGAAGCCAGTCCCGCTCCATCATCCCCCCCTCATGCCAGTGCAGGCTCGGCTACCATTGGGCTCTTGCCAGAAAGCCTAGCCCAGACCTGTCTGAAGGAGGTCGTGTGCAGCTGACCTCAGAGGACCTGTCTCTGAATGAGCAGAGGCCGATGGAACCTGCGCATGCGTTGAAGAATGTTGGCTTCATAACTGCGTGGACACCCTGAAGTTCCTGCTCTGCGTTCTTCGGGAGGCTGGGTCTGTAGGACCTGGAGGCTTTTTTTTTTATTAAGGTGTTTTATTAAGGGTGTACCTGCCTGCCAGAGGCGTAAACCAAGCTCTTCGTCCCTGTGAGCAGGTGGGGCCCCCAGACACTGCAGTGAAGGATCGATAGGCTGGGGCGGCACTGCCCCACGATGCAAGTCACAGGAGAGTTTGCCACCTTTGAGAAAGTATGGTGGTTCCAGAGAAGAACCATTTGTACAGCCAGTGGTTTCAGCGCAGGCAAAAGGCACTGATGCCTGGCCATGCTCTTCTGCTGGTTGGCTGTTTTGTTAGCGTAGAGAAAGGTGTAGATGTGCTTCTTCCCTTTACTCCTCAGTTCTCCCAGCACCCAAACATTTGCCTGTCACTGCAGGAGAAAAACAAGGTGGCCTGTGCCCTAACTTTAACCAGTTATTTTCTAACAGTGGGGACTGTGTGATGGAAGAAGCAAGAGAAGATTTTTATCCAGATGCCTGAATTACTGAGGTCCTATGAGTGTAAATACCACAACACACACTGTTTAGGAGTAGATTTCGATCTTGTATATTTGGTATATATGGTACTTGAAATATTTTAAGTTGTTGTGGGAAAATACACATAACATAAAAGTGACCACCTTAACCAGTTTTAAGTGTTCACGACGCTGTGCCGCCAATCTCTAGATTTCTTTTCATCTGGCAAAACCGGAACTATAGCCATTAAAACAGCCCGTCCCGATTCCCCTCCCCCAGTTCTTGGTGACCTCCATTCTGCTTTCTGTCTCTATGAATTTGATTTGACCACTCTAAGGACATCATATCAGTGAAATCCTATGGTATTTATTTTTGTGTGACTGGTTTATTTCACTTGGAACAATCACCTCCAGGTCGGTCCATGCTGTTAAAAGATTAAAAAACAAACAAACCAAAAAGTAGGTTAGAGGATACTTTTGTTATGATTGGCTTATAAGTATAGATGTTTTCAGCTTTTTTCATTTTGATTACACATGCAATTACCCATTGTATCCTTTCTCTACCCCAGTGGTTCCCTAGTCGATGTGAGAATCATAGAGGGGTTTAAGAAGGAAGTCATGTGGGTGATTTAAAAACATACGGCCTCCAGGGCTGCTCTCCAGGTCCTCTGAACCGGAATCTGGTGGGGCCTTGGGGATCTGTGCTTTTAAAAAGTCCGTTGCTCCAAGTAAGTAAGGCCCTTGTCTCCTGTGTCTCCTGAACAGTTTTGTCCAAGCTGTGCTTGTGATACTGTCTGTCTTCTTGTACTTGTTTGCCTACAAAGAGTACCTCGCCTGCCTCGTGCTGGCCATGGCCCTGGGCTGGGCGAACATGCTCTACTACACGCGGGGGTTCCAGTCCATGGGCATGTACAGCGTCATGATCCAGAAGGTTGGTTCGGGGCCTCTGAGCAGCAGAGATGTGCAGGCTGGGAGGGCCCTCAGAGGACGCTCACTTTTCAGATGGGGAAACTGAGATCTGGAGAGCAAAGGGGGCTGGCCCGCAGGGCAGACTGCTGCTCTTTATTTACTTAAGCCACTGTCTTCATTTGCCTTTGGTCAGCTTTAAGTGTCCAGACCCTAAAATGCCTGGGCTTATTGAGCATTGAGAAGGGATACACTTGGGGAAGGAATGTTCTCAGCTCCAGGTAGTGGTGTGCTGGTGAGTATTTAACAACTGGGAGACACACACACACACACACACACACACACATACACACAGATTCATAAATGGTTATTATAAAATTTATTATTTAAAGGATGTAACACACAGTTCCCTTTCTAATAAAACATACAATACTATTTTAGTAAATTCCACATAGCTAGTAGAGTCTCACTGAGTAAGTTGTTGATTTAAAAAAATATATTTTTTATTGATTTTTTACAGAGAGGAAAGGAGAGGGAGAGGGAGAGTTAGAAACATCGATGAGAGAGAAACATCAATCAGCTGCCTCCTGCACACTCCCCACTGGGTATGTGCCCGCAACCACGGTACATGCCTTTGACCGGAATCTAACCTGGGATCCTTATAGTCCGCAGGCCGATGCTCTATCCACTGAGCCAAACCGGTTAGAGCAAATTGCTGATTTTTGTTGAGTGCTTATATCTGTTGTTAACCAATGGTTTCAACCGACAAACGAGTGTTCTTCTACAACATAAGTGTTGGTTGCTATTTTTCTCTAAGAAATAAAACAAAGGTGAAAATGAAGACATGGCAGAACTTTCAGTTGTGATGTGAGCCACTTCTTTTCTGAGTTGGATAATGGTATTCAAATATTAGAAGGCCATTTCATTATTATTGTGTTATTCACAATGTAGCAGCTACAGATAGGACACATTTTTAAATTTAATTTGCTTTAACATTTTCTCCATGGCTCTCTTACATCTAGATCTAGGCAATCAACAAAACAATGAGTCAATCTCTGATTTGTAGCTTTTCCAATTTCTTTAAAAAATATTTTTTATTGATTTTAGAGAGAGGAAGGGAGAGAGAGAGAGAGAAGGATAGAAACATTGATGATGAGAATCATTGATCGGCTGCCTCCCACATGCAATGGAGCCCACAACCCCAATGTGCCATGACCAGGAATTGAATCATGACTTCCTAGTTCATGAGTTGATGCTCAACCACTGAGCCACACCAGCTGGGCACATTTACCAATATCTATAGTATAATTACTCCCACCCTAATGGTTTCAGCTACCAACATGACATCTTTGAACACGGAGCTGGGAAGAGATGCACAGTAACACTGTTAATAGTATTACTACCATATAGCTACCATAGATGTAAATAACCTTGAGAGCAGAGGTAATTCTAAAATGTAGTAAGATAACTAAGAAGTGATGAGTTTTGACTATTATCTCTATTTTTCATATAATGTATTTACTTATAAGTTGATATGATTTAATTTTTATTAGTGGCCATGTTTAACAACCAGCTCACACAATTCAGGAAATTGTAATAGGCATCTCTGGTGAGCTGGTATGAGCTGGCTCCAGCACACCACTGCTCCAGGAAGAGGGAGGATCCCAGACATGAGACTGTGAAGAAAGGTGCTCATGGACAGTGTGAATCAGCAGGGACATAGACCGACTGTCTTCCAGGAGGGAGCGGGGAGCAGGGAGGAGAGCAGGAACAGAAGGCTTCTTGGAGAAGGTGGGGTCCAGAGCTGAGCTTTGGAGCACCAGGGGGACATGGCCAAGGGTAAGGGAGAACGGCCTGAGTTGAGGCCATGGTTAGGGTGGGAGAAGCAGCGAGAGCGGTGTACGGTGATTATGTCCTCAGATCTCACTCTCAAATCATTCTTTTTTCTTTGTAGGTCATTTTGCATGATGTTCTGAAGTTCTTGTTTGTATATATCGTGTTCTTACTTGGATTCGGAGTAGGTAATTGATTTATAAAGAATAGTAACTCCCACATTTGTAAAGCACTTTATACAGATGTCAGAATGACAAAGCACAGAGGAGCCTCAGCAGCAATTACATCAGCAACCACAGAGCCTTGCTGTGCTGAGCATTTTCCAATCATCTTTTTCTTCTCTCACATCTCAGTCAAGGGAGAATCATCATCCCTGATCATAAGGTGACTAAGACGTAGACTCTAGGATGCAATCAGGTCTGTCGCTCTCATCCATCCCCCCTGTGGGATGTGCCTCCCACGTTCACATCCAGCCACGTGACCCTCACAACCGAGAGAGGCTGGGCAGGAGTTTTTGGCCCCATTTTACAGATGGGGAAGTGAAGTCACAGAAATTTGATGATGGCCTTTGAAAACTAGAAAGTAATGAACTGAGATACTCCCCTTTGGCCCCCCACTTTATGTATTCTCAGAGTTCTCTTCAGACAGACCTGTGAGAGCCTTTTGTCTCCCAGGGACGAGAAGCCTCCTCTTAAAACCTCTCCGTTTACAACAAATAGGACCAGCACAACCTGGTTCTATTTCTGACCTCTGCATGGGGCGATTAGGTCTTATATTTCCATGCCGGTTTCCCCCCCAGTGGTCATTGGCATTTGAAGCTAAGCAGCTGTTTCCATCTGTCTGCTACCCTTTCTGTGTCATAATTTGCTTATTTATTTGATCTTTCATTATCTTGTTTATTCATCCATCTATTTACTCATTCATTTGACCATCCACCCAGCCAGCCAGCAAAGAGCCACTGCTGTAGTGTATTGGAAAGAAGAGAAGAGAGGGCTTCAGGCCTTGGCCAGGGGATCTCACTACAGAGCTTTGGGGGGGACACTCAGGACCTCAGTCTTGTGGAGAGGACCTGGGCTACAGGAAGTCGGGAGCTCAGAGCCTGAATGGGGAGCCAGGGCCACACAACTCTGTGGCCGCGAGCGATCAAGGGCTGGATGGTGGGTAAAGGAGGCACAGAAGGGCATGGGCTTTGTTAGGCAAGAAGGGCTTTCTGCAGAGAACCAGCTTTTCTGGGAGAGCTGGGGCTGGAGATGGAGCTGAAAGGCCAGAGGAAGCGGGCAGGAGGCAGGCCCGCAGTGTGTGGGGGCATGTGTGTACCTGCACGCAGGCATGAGCTTGTTGGGTAACCAGGCCCAGAGGCTGACGAGAGCACCCTGGTATGTCCTCCCAGCCCTGGCTTCGCTGATTGAGAAGTGTCCCGAGGACAACAAGGAATGCAGCTCCTACGGCAGCTTCAGCGACGCTGTGCTGGAACTCTTCAAACTCACCATCGGCCTGGGCGACCTGAACATCCAGCAGAACTCCAAGTACCCCATCCTCTTCCTGTTCCTGCTCATCACCTACGTCATCCTCACCTTCGTCCTCCTCCTCAACATGCTCATCGCCCTCATGGGGGAGACCGTGGAGAACGTCTCCAAGGAGAGCGAACGCATCTGGCGCCTACAGGTGAGCCTGGGAGACCTGGTGCGGAGGCTTCACGGGGACTCCGTTCACTACGTGCCATTGACCACCAGCACTGGGGGAGCTGGGGCGGGGCCTGGGAATCTGCATAAGCTCCCTGTGCTTGGCCAGGTTTGAAGAAGCATTGGCCTCGGTTCCTGGAATATAGGGTCAACAGCAGGTGTGAGAGCAACTCAGGCTTATGGGAGTGCTCTGCTCAGAGTCATGGTGTGACATGTGGATGTTGAAATGTGACTTTAGGTTACATTCACAAGGGAGGTGATAATTCTGCTTTCCTCTATCCTGGCCTCAACTGTCCTCACCTACTTCGGGCCTTACATGCTGAGGACACCACCACAGTAATGGCCGGAGGTGGTGAGCAGGCTTGGGAGAGGGCGGGAAACCATGCCTTATGAGAAATGACACTGAGACTAGGTTTGAAGAAGGTGTTATCTCTTCAGATACCTGCAGAGCTTGTGAAAGAGGGAGCAACTTCTTTCTATGACACCAGAAGGCAGCGCTGAAGTGTATGGGGCAACTATAAGAAAAAAAGCTTTGATTTGACAAAAGGAATTTTCTAGTTACTAGGGCCTTCCTCATTGGCTTGTTGATAATATTTAGGAGAGATTGGACAAATTATTGCCAGGAAAGCCGCCGCCGAGGGGATGGAAATGGGACCACATGATGCCTGCACTTCCAGTCACTGTGAGACCCAGGATCCTAACGTTTTCAGTTAGGAAGCGCCTGGACTTCCAGAAACATTGTTTATGTCATGTTTAAAGCAATTTGGACACCTTTCCCAGGTTTTCTGGTTTTTCATTTTTGAATTCTGTAGATTAGCTGAACCTCAGGTTCTATGCACTAAGCTTCCAGTGGGGTTGGAGTGGGCTGTGTGCACATGCATTTGTGTGTGTATACGTGCATGCATTTGTGGGTGTGTAATTTACATGTGTGTTCCTGTGTATGGACTTGTGGGTATGTACTTTGTGTGTGTGTGTACTTGTGTGTGTATGTGTGCACGCACTTGTGGGTGTGCACTTAGTGTGTGTGCTTGCGTGTGTATGTATGCATGCACTTATGTGTACATGTACTTGTGTGTGCGCATTTTGTGTGTATGTGTAAATGCGTGTGTGCACACTCACACACAACTGTGCTCCCGGACTGGCTCCTCGGCGAAGTGCTTAGGCTGGTTTCTGTCCCCAGAGAGCCAGGACGATCTTGGAGTTTGAGAAGATGTTGCCGGAATGGCTGCGGAGCAGGTTCCGGACGGGAGAGCTGTGTAAAGTGGCGGAGGAAGATTTCCGGCTATGTCTGCGGTAATGGAGGGGGAGGACCCTCCGGGGCAGCCTCTGGGGGGTCAGGAGGGCAGGTCAGTGACTGCTGGAGAAGCAGTGCCGCCCACAGCCACGCTGTGCTGGACGCTCCAGAAGGCGATGTGCCCTTCTGGGATGAGGCTTCCTGAGCGGCAGGAGGGGCAGGAAGGGAGACTCTGCTGCCTCGGTCCCTCTCTGTGGGGGTGGACGGCCTCCACAGCCCCTCCTTTCCCGAGGAGGGCTTAGGGAAGGCTTTCCAAGTGGCACTCTGTCCTCTGGCCACCCTGCGGGTCAGTGACATAGGGGACCGGAGGCACACTGTCACTGGCGATGGAAATGAGACAGCTACCTTGGACAAATGCCAAGTTTTTTATTTAAAAAAAGTGCTTGCACCCGCCATGACTGTCTTTCCTGCCCAGTCCATCTCTTCCTACCCCATCTGACTGCCTGATTCTACAGACCACTTTCCTTTCTACTTCTCTGACTGAAACCGCCCCCCACCATCACTTCCCTCTGTGGTTGTCTCTGATTCTGACACATTCACGATAGAGATGGTCTCTGAGTGTGAACTTTAGCCAGACTGCCGCCACCAGTTGTGATCCAACACCGTAGACACTGCTCACTCTTTGGGGGTTTGAATCCCAACCACCTTCTAGTGCCACCTTAACCCTAGTTAACCATCTATGCCAGTGGTTGGCCAACTGCGGCTCTCGAGCCACATGTGGCTCTTTAGCCCCTTGAGTGTGGCTCTTCCACAAAATACTACATGCGGGCATGCATGTACAGTGCGATTGAAGGAGTACCCTAATTAAGTTAATAACAATGTACCTATCCATATAGTTAAGTTTAAACAATTTGGCTCTCAAAAGAAATTTTAATCATTGTACTGTTGATATTTGGCTCTGTTGACTAATGAGTTTGCCGACCACTGGTCTATGCTTTTCATCCTCACACTCTCACATCCTCTCAGCGGGGGCCCTAACCCCTTCCCCTTCCCTCCTTCTTTACTGCCCTCCCTCCTTCCCCAAGAACTGCGCCTCACCAGTTAGGCACACTGCTGCTGTCTGAAGAAGTCCCCGTTATGCCTCTCTGAGTTTTGGGGGCTCACACACTGGGAGGAGACTGAGCCCTGGAGGCCTGGGAAAATGGGGACTTGGGCAGGTTTCAAACCCTGATCCCTGGGACAGACGTGGGAGCTGTCTAGGACCCCCCAAATGCCATGCTATTTGTTTGTGTTTAATGAGGTGCAGTTGTGAATAGTGCCAATGATTATTACACTCACAGGATCAACGAGGTGAAGTGGACTGAATGGAAAACACATGTCTCCTTCCTCAACGAAGATCCCGGGTCTGTGAGACGGGCAGGTAGGACGTGTGACAGCCATTCCTGTCTGGCCATGTGAACTGAGTCTGAGGGCCCTGATTTTCCCCATCTGTGAAATGGGAGGATTGAGTTAAATTGGTCCTCCGGTCCCTTCCAATTCTGATGCTTTAGAACCCTTGTTGTAATAACTTCTAAAAGTCGGGCAGTGGCAAACTGGGTGGTGCATTGAGACATGGAATTACCGACCTTGCAGACTGCTGTATTTCTAAGATAGTGTGTTGTGTGTGTTTTTTAAAAGCAGATTTCAACAAAATCCAAGATTCTTCCAGGAGCAACAGCAAAACCACCCTCAATGCGTTCGAAGAAATAGAGGAGTTTCCGGAAACTTCCGTGTAGCAGCAGAATCCGGAGCTGGTGTGCGCATGGGTGCTGCAGGCTGGCCCGGGACTGCGAGCTGAGGGCTTGGCCTGCTGATGGAGCCTGGCTCTGCCCGCCTGGAAGCAGAAGGCACTCTCAGGCTGAACTGAGAGGCAGTTGCCAGTTTTGCTGAGTGGAAAACACCCTGGATTTTGTTATTTGGTGAAGAGTTTGTGTAGACGCATGGCCAGCAGTCCTGAACCTGCGATTCCTGAAGTTCTTGGGTTCACCCGCTGGTGACCAGGTCAGCTTGGCTGGAAGAGAAGCTGTAGGGAAGGGGCAGGGCCCGAGGAATGGAACTTTCTTCCTGCCAGCTTCTCCTTGGGATGCAGTTCACACACCCCTCCTTTCCCCTGCTGTGCCTGGGGCTTCTGAACGGAAGGGACTCTTGATCCCATTCCAGAACATTCAGGGGACTGAGCAAGTCCGATCTCCTAAGGGAGAGGGGGTGTGAGTTATGGAAATGCCTTTCCAGAACCTTCAGGGAACAGGAAACTACCCTTGGAATGAGTGCCCATTGGCACCCCAAGGCTCAAACTGTCTCAAAGTGAGAGACATTTTTTTGTAGTGTAATTAACACTGTTTTTTTTTTTTTAAAAATTATTATTTTATTTTCAATAGAAAAAGGACATTTCAGTTTTAAATGAGAATTACTTCTGATGAAGTACATGATTTTAAAAGTGGAGAAGTAGAGGTTAGAGTTTGGGATTGGATGTGAGTGTTATGTTCTAGGCCTCAGGGTGGCCGGAGCAGAAACAAAAAGCTTTTCTCTGCGCACACAAAAGTCCCGATGAGACATGCACAGCGTGAGGCGGCCCCGGCGCGTCCGGCTGACTCCAGAGCCAGCTGGAGGCTGTGATGGGGAGAGAGGCCTGGCTCTCCTCCTCGCCCGCCCTGCGGTAGTGCCCGCCTCCGAGCTGGGTCCCAGCTTCGTCTGAAACAGAACTAGCAGCTGCTCTATTCCTATGGCCTACCACCCCAGAGGTTACTCTGACACATCCGTGTTTCTCATCGGAGGGAGTCAACAACATACCCGAAATGCTCTGGCACTCAGTATTTTGGCTAACTGTGAATTTGGAAGCTGGGGAAAAGGTGTGAGAGAAAGGCGCATTTGCCAAGATGAGTTGCTTTGCTTTTTGATCCTCATCCTCTGATTTCCTCCCCCTGAAGTTACATGGAGCCAGTTTGGGGGCAGAAACGATGGAAGACATGTTCCGATGTGTGGGTTGTCTGGTAAAAGGATTCATGTGGGAATTGTTGAGGTGGAATGATAGCTATATTAACCACGAGTTTAATTTGAAATGGCACAGAAATGAATCTGGCCTTTAGGCCACGTGGCGATTGGCTAGATAATTTGACTTGCGGCCAATGGAGAAGTGCAAACCAAGCAGCCGCTGTGGGCTGTTCTGGGTGCCAGCACCTGGGTGAGTAGAAACGTGGCCTTTGGGTCTTTGTGCCCCTGATGGGCCGGGTCAGGGACGCAGCCTGAGAGCCACACAGTCTGCAGCTGCCCGTGCCCTTCCTGCTGACTCAGGCGCCAAGCGTGCTCTGCAGCAGTGGTCAGGCCAGGCTCAGGTGTGAGCAGGGACTAGGTATGTCCTTTGGAAAAGGGAAGGCCTGTCGCGGAGGTGGGAGGAGCAGATGTGTTCCAGATGTGGGCAGAACTAGTGCCAAAGGTGGGACATTTCAGGGGAGAGATTTTGGTTCCATTCAGTCCTGCAACTGCTCTAGATATTGGAGATGTTTAAGCGGAAGCTGGTTGAGAATCTATTAGGGACGATGTATAAAGATCACAGGTGAACTTTGAGGTCCTTTTAGCCTGCAGATCAGCGTCCTGTATCTAGAGTTATCCGTTTACATACAGCGAGAACAGATGTCTTGGTTTGAAGGGAGTCCATGGTGCCATGCTCTCCATGATGAAGCTGGGAATTCCAGAATCGCTTTGATTCCCATATGCATGGGTTAAGCCACTTCCATTTCTTGCTTGAAGAAAAACTGGGAGGTTAGGGAAGTAGAAATCAGTAATGGGATCTTTGTCTTCTCACAGGTACGGAGAGCTGTGGGGCTGGATAGATTTCGTTGGCAGGACCATTGCTGTGCTGATAATCATTCCCAGAAGTCTTTCAGCCTAGCTAGTCTGAGCCTAGATGGGTTTTCTCAGGTGAAGGGAAGCAGTGGGCCAAAGAGCATCAGGTTAAAAAGACGAGTCCTCTTATTTTACAACTAGGACTAGAGCTCAGAAAGGAAATCACACTCGTTCATAGTCAGGCAGGAAGACATAGCAGAGCGATTGAAACTGGAGTGTTCAGGTTTCTGCACCACAGATGTCCCCCTGCACCATCATCTTAAAAAGCAGTTATTCAGTAAATTTGAGTCTGCCTTTGTGGTTGGCATATGTCAACAGGCTATGGCTTTTTGCTCAGGCGATTCATGTTGACAGGTTTGAAAGTCAAGTGTGAATACAGATGTCATACAACAACAACAACAACAACACCACCACCACCACACACACACACACACACACACACACACACACACACCAGGGCATATTAGGGCATGTTAAAATGCCATGATTTACATTTCAGCAATTTATGGGGAAGGCATATTCCAGGGATGGAACCTCCCATGCTCAGGTAACGATTTGAGCTGGAAATTTTCCTTTGGCTAAACTCTGCCTCAGGAAGAATCCATTATTCTGGACATCACATGATGTATTTATTTGGAGTAAAAATGGTGCTTACCTTCCTCCCTGGGGTGGGAGAAGGTGTGTGAGGTTGTACTGTGAAGTCATTAAGCTCTTGGAAGGCTCCTGCCTGAGAGAGCCCAGTATTATTGACATTCCTTTCCTTCCTCAAGGCCTGGTGAGCTGTGTCCCGTTGCTTCGGAAGGGACCCAGGCAGAGGGGCCATCATCCTGGCCTGTACGCCATACTTGATTTCTGCATTGATTTTTTTTTTTTTTTTTTTTTACTGTGATCTCGGTTCCAAATGCAGAATTATCATCTTGTTCTCACTGAATGTGCCTTATCCTTCTAAATTCTAATTTACTTACTTGTTCTTAGTATTGTGTGTGTGAGACTCTATGTTTGAGAAAGAAGTCATAAATAGAGTAAGAACATGTTAGTGTCCTTGAAGAAATGCTTTTATGATTTCTAATAAATATTTATTTTGCCTTGTTATAATTGTGTCTTATTCTTGTATGAAGTGCGCCAATATAAAGACCTACTAGGAATCCTAGAGTGTTACTCAGCATGAGTGGATAAAGGGAAAGCCACCATTTGGACCCGAAGCATTAGTATTGGTCCTCGCTCTGGGGCAGAGCCAGCACAATAAAACAGGTCGTCTTTGTACAGTGTTGACCTCTCAGAGTGCATTCACCTCCAGTGCCCCATTGAAAGCCCTCTACAACTTTGGAAGGAGTTTGAATAAAATGAGACCCAGGGAGTTGAATGACATGCTCAAGGAATCACAGTCAGAAAACATTAGTGGTTCATGGCCCCCAGGCCATGATCTACCCATCATGGCTTGCTGGCTCCCCCACTGGTTCTCAACTTATTTTGCATGAATAGGAAACCATGGCTCCACCTGGAGACCAGAAAGGACAAATCCCTTCTTTCTAGCTGAAGCCGGTTTGGCTTAGCGGATGGAGCATTGGCCTGTGGACTGAAGGGTCCTGGGTTTGATTCTGGTCAAGGGCATGTACCTTGGTTGCAGACACATCATCAGTAGGGGGTGTGCAGGAAGCAGCTGATCGATGTATCTAGCTCTCTATCCCTCTTCCTTTCTCTCTGTAAAAAAATCAATAAAAAATATTTTTTAAAAAAATCCCTTCTTTCTACCTCACAGGACCTTTGTGAGGAGGCAATGAGGACATTGATATGGAAGAGCGGATGTTATTACCTTTATTATTATCCAACTCATATGTATATACACTTTTTCATTCTTTCATAAAGATGACGGTTCTTAACTTAAATGCCACGACACTGCTGTGTCTTGATAGGTTGCAGAACTTCCAAACAATTTATTAATGGATGAAATGCTGCATTTGGTGAATTATTTACTTAATTCAAATTCTTCCCAGAATAACATCTTTTAATGGGATGTGTTTTCTTTAGTGGCAAGAAATGGGAATTGTACATAATCCACATCTTAGATCAAATAGGCTTTAGCTATAATATAGGAATAGATGTGCCATCTATGGGAACATTCTAGATGGACTGATTTAAAAAAGGGTGGAAATCCCTGTTATTGGATATATCCTGAAAGTGTGATGCCTAAATCAATGAGTGTGAACAGTTTTATGGCTCTTGATATGAAAAATTCCCTTCCAAAGGTATTTTGCAATTTTTTTTTTAGCCTTTGATATTGTATGATTCCCATTTATAAAACTGAAGTTTACTGGTGCTAGTCTAGTAGTGTCAGTGAGCTTGGATAACACATTTAAGAATAAATGTCACTGCCCTGGCACACGTGGCTCAGTTGGTTGGAGCATCATCCCATGCACCAAAGGGTTGCCGGTTTGATTCCCAGTCAGGGCACATACAGGAGGCAAGCAATCCATGTTTCTCTCTTGCATTGATGCCACTCTCTCTCCCTCTCCCTCTCTCTAAAATTTAAAAAAAAACATGAGTAAGTGTCATCCAGGTAAAGGGAATGTGGGGGTGGAGTAGCGTTTCAAGAAGAGGGAATAGTATGGGCAAAGACCCCAGAGTAGTAGGGAGCTCAGGGTAGTTGAGGAGGGAGAACTCTGTGTCGCCAAATTGCTGGGAGCAAGGGGACAAGTGACATGAAATTGGGCTGGAGAGGCGGGTGGAGGCCAGAATCCAAAAGACCTGTCTGGCCTAGGTGAGGCTTTGAGATTTCCTATCAAGGGTTAGGGGAAGCCACTGAAAGTTTTTGTACAGGGGGAGTTGTTGAATGTGAATATTTATCTGTTTTTTTTGTTTGTTTGTTTTTTTATGGTGTTGCCGGCTTATAAGGGTGTATTTTCCTCCCTGCCATTCTTTGGGACAAAGTAACAGTTTGAAAGGTGTGGAATGGAGTGAATTTCACTTGGGAGATGGGAGTAGTCAGGAAGTGACTGAGAAAGAAAAGAAGGCAAAGAGAAGGCATAGACAGGGGGTATAATAGGAAGACTTCTCAGTAGAGAAGGGATGTTTGAGCACACTCAGTTATTCAATTAAATTTTATTTGGCACTTATTAGGTTGCACACACCAAAAAAAAAAAAAAAAAAGAAGAAGAAGAAAGACACTGGTTATATCCTTGAGATGGGATGGAAGCAGAGAGAAGAAAGGAACAGGACCAGAAGGCTTTGTGGATGAAATGAGTTGAGTTGCTATTTATTTATTTATTTATTTATTTATTTATTTATTTATTATGTTAATCCTCACCCCAGGGCATTTTCCCATTGATTTTTAGAGAGAGTGGAAGGGAGGGGGAAAGACAAAGAGTGATTGAGAGGAAGAGAGAGAGAGAGAAAGAGAAAGAGAGAGAGAGAGAGAGAGAGAGAGATATCAATTGGTTGCTTCCCACATGCACCCTGGGGATCAAGCCTGCACCCGAGGTACATGACTTTGACTGGGATCCAACTCAAGATCCTTCAGTCCACAGATCAACATTCTATCCACTGATCAAACCGGCTAGGGTGAATTGAGTTGCATTTTCAAGGAAAAAATAAGAATTAGCTAGAGTGAGGTCTGAGGGGGGGTGGGGAGGGATGGAGAAAGGAGGAAGAAAATTTGAGGTGGAAGGACCATCTTCTGTGAAGGAATAAGAAATAGCTGACACAAAGCCGACTGGAACAGAGAGGACCTGAAGGGAGATGAGTCTAGAGAGATAGTGGGGGAAGGAGGAGCTGATCATAAAGGGCCTTTTGTGTTAGATATTTGAACTTGAATAATTTATTAATCTGTGCTAGGCACTGTGCTAAGTGCTTATATGCATTAGCTCACTTATTCTTCACAATGATCCTATGAGAGGGGCATTGATATTATGATTCTCCCCATTTGATAAATGAGAAAACCAAGTCTGCAGGCTTAGAAATAAAACTAAAATATACTAAAACTAAAGTGGCTAAAGCCACACAGCAATGTGTAATAGATTTTAAAAAATCACACTTAATTAGAAACTCTGAAGACTATAGGCTTTGAGTCAGAGAAAATTCGACTTGCTAGAAATAATCAATACAAAAACTGAAACCACAGTGGCTTACACTGAACCTTGAAACTTTTAACATTGAAAGTCCTTAATTTATTTCATTAACGCTGGTACGCCCAGACTTCGTGATCTCCAAGGACCACCAGGGAGCCGAGTTCGATACAATAAACAAAAGAGCCTTTTCCATGCTAGCATGGGCTCTGTCCCACTCACATGGCGGAGAGCGAATTTTGCCCAGTCCAGGAGTTTTACTTGGGTCGGTGGTGATGTCACTGCCTCGGCTAACCCTGATTAGGCTGGGTCCAGTTACAAAATGGAGGATAACTCCGCCCTGCCCCACAGTGGAGTCAGGAGCTCATCCTCGCCCTGCCCTGCCCTCTCAAACGCAAACAAACAAAACACTGAAACCTGTAAAGAATTTTTGTGAGTTTATTTGAGCCAAACTGTTGACATATGCAGGGAAGTAGAACCTCAAAGAATTGAGATAATGCTCTGCAGAAAATGGCAGGTTACACTGCAGTCAAAGGAGGGACTTAGGTGGGTTACATGAAATCCATTGGTGATAGATTAAGGAGGTGGGATAAAGTAAAGCAGGGCAGGGGAACCCTGGGATTGGATAAAAAGTAAAATGATGGACACAGACTTAGGTTAGTGCAGGGACAATTAACATGATAATGAAGGAATTTGTGGCATCTGTCCTGGTGCCCAGCACATTAGGTTGTGCCCCAAGGGGTCCAGAAAAAGGGAAGTTACGAGTTACCCAGACATTTCAAGGGTATGTTATCATAGATGTAAAAAAGACAGATAGGCTCAGGTAAAGTAAAGGTTGACCTTGTCAGTGAAGATATCTGCCTAGGACGGACCTACCCACCATAACTGCTTTTAATTAAAGTTTAATTTCAGAACATCCTTTGTAGTTACTTTAGGTCTCTGAGTTTGCAAGACAGCCATGCAGGCCTCCCCTGAGCTTGTCAGTTCAGCATGTGGCCCCTTTTATCCACACTTTCCTTTTAAAATCTTTATTGTTGTATTACATATGTCCCTCTTTCTGCCCATTGATCCTCTCTAGTTCACACTCCCCACAATCTCCACCTCCCTGCCCCAGGCCTTTACCACCCTATTGTCTGTGTCCATGGGTTATGCATACAATGAGCCTTGTAAAACTTATAAGTAAAATTTGATGGAAGAATAAAGTATACTTGCTAAAATTTACATCTGGAAAAAAACTGACCCAGGAAAATTGGACTCAGGCAAAAAACACAAAGGAACATTCACAGTGGGAAAGGAAGCTTGGCAAAACTTGGTATGTACAAAAACTGATAGGTAAGTTGAAGTTTTACTAAAGAATTCAGAAGGAAGAGAGTTTATTCCAATGAAAAGGATTTTGTTAAAGTGCAAAAATAAATGTGGAAAAAAATTCAAGTTTTTGCTCCATTCCATTATGTATGTAATGAAATTGGTTTAATGGAATTTGCTCTGCAAGAATGAAAATGATTATGTATATATGCTCCACATAATGTTAGTATGATTTTGGTAAATACCTTGGAAACCGTAAACATGGGTTCTGTGGTGTCCAAATCTTGGGCTAACAATGTTCTTTACTTGGCTGCTGTGACTTAGGGCAGAGAGAGGGGAGTCTCCTGGAGGGGCTGGAGAGGAAGGAGGCAGAATTCCAGCCCGAAGATCTCTGAAGAGAAGAATCATGGGAGGTGAGGGGTGTGGGCACTTAGGACGAGGACAATTTCTGGAAAGAATGCATTTAAGAACCAGAGACTTGGGTCTGGGCGCATTTCCACTAGTGTCCACTCTTCTCTGCTATTTCTGTCTTTACTGCCCACGCTGTGGGGACCCAGGGACTTTTCCTCATATGTTGGTTGCAAATGAGGGCAAGTGTGTTCTTTCAAAAGGAGAAGGGACAGCTGTGAGGAATTGGCCTCCCCGACTTTCCCCAATTGGGAAGAACCTTGGTTTCTCAAGAAGGAGGCTCTCAGCTCCCTGAGGTCAGTGCAGAACAAGTGGACAGGCCTGCGCAGCGACGCTTTGTAAGGGTTACTGTGTGTGGACAAAGGGGGTTCAGAGAATTTTATTTATTCATAATGTTTCCTTCACAATTAGCCCTCATTTCTCATTCACATTTAATCTTCAAAAGAGCATTTAAAAATCTCTTAATGGTATCACAACTAAAGTTCATTCTCATTCAAATATGGAAAATTTAAAAACTGTAAATCTGCATCATTGGTTTCTAGTAGCATTATACATTACTTGAAAATATACATTTAATTGCATGCTTTTTGTATATAGTATCTATTTCAACTTAAAAAATTGAATTTAAAAACTTTATTAAAAATGTTAAACAACCGAAGTATAATGTATAAAAAGCTTTACCAAAATAAAAAATACACTTCTTTGAATAAGCTATATGCTACAATATGCTACCTTTAAAAGATATCCATTAATTAATTTATTCATTCATTCGAGAATCTGCCCAAATGCCCACTTTGTGCAAGGCTCCGGAGAGGTGCCAGGGATATGAATAAGGCACATTAAATCCAGCAGAACTCCGTCCTTTGGGGCTTACAGACTAGTGGAGCTTTTCCAGATATTGCCTATCAAGCAAACCGGAAGTGATGTCTAATGTAAAGAGGAGCGAACACTTTTTGCCTTGAGTGTTAGTATAGTTGTCTTGGCAAAAGCTTCTTTCTTTTCATAATATGCTGCCTCATTTACAAACGTCGGGTACACAATACAGTCTCCACCTAATGGAATTGTCTTCCCATCAAGAGTTAAAAACACAGGATCCTCAGGGCGCAGCGGTTTCCAGTCTTGATCCTTTCAGGGAACAAAATACATAAATTACATTTGGTCTCTCTCCTACTTTAAACATTTTTGTGTGAGTCTGTAGACAACTGAAACATTTAGCACTGGATTCTGTCAAAAGAGACACTTGAGAGATATGTTGAGAGCTTGTGAGTGATCTGACTAAACAGACTGAGTAATAATTTGGCAGCAGTTTTAAGAGTTTCCCTTTTAATATTTATAACACAGTTTGCCTTGAATGTTGCCAAAAAGATTTGTGATTTGTTATATTAAAAGGAAAATCTCAATGCATGTCTCCCTCAGTGTATAGTCTACCTCTTGTTGGCTGAAGTTAAATTCTGTTCAGCAAAATTTAGAAACTATCCATTAAGAGCCTTCTGCGTGTAAGACAGTCTGCTGTTGGGAACAGAAATGTGAGCAAGGCCGGGCCTGCACACAAGGAGAGCCTGTCTGGTGGGGTCTGGTGAGAGAAGGGGGGTGGTCTGGGAAGAGTCGAAGGCAAGGTGGATGTTTTTCATAAGTGTCCCTACATTATGATAGCATAGGAGTTAACTGAAAGGTCCCATACCGGCAGTTTGGAACTTAAATACCACTGTTGTCACACCACAGGAAGCTGAGAGCAGATCTTCTCAAACACTGATGTGATTGAGATTCACGCAGGGATTTTGTTAAAGAGCAAATTCAGATCCTGTAGGTCTGGGGAGGGCCCGAGAGTCAGCATTTCTAACATTTCCCAGCAACAGCGGCAGCAGCAGCACTGAGTGTCAGCTAGAAAAGCAGAATTCCATTCTCCACTCACACCCACTCAGTCAAGATCTTCACGTTAACAAATGCCCCAGAGTCAAAGGCTCAGCATTCAAGTCCGAGAGGTGCTGCCTGAGAGTAATTTCCTCAACCCTGGCTGCATGTGGTCATTACCTGGGGCGTTTACAAACAGAGAGCAGAGCGACTGGACCCATCCCAGATATGTCAAGTCAGAGTTTCATAATTTTTAAAAAATTTACATACAGAAAAATGCATTAATTTTTGTGTATAGTTCTGTTATAAAGTTAGACATGAGCAGAGCAAGGATGATGGGCCAGGTATAGAACCTCACCAGGACAGAAAGCCCCGGATGCTTAGCAAGGGGCAAAACTGGGAAAACAAGGACCTTGCCCCCTGGATAACCTTTTTCTTTCCTAGCATATCACTGGCCATGGCTTTAGACTCCTTGACCTTTCCCTCCATAAGGATAATATCTAGGCCTCCGTTGTATTTCAGCTCCAGGCCCAGAAAAGCAGCAAAACCAGACAAGTGATTCTGTGGCTGCATCAGGATCAGGTCATTGACTAATGACCCCCTGCCCTGGCTCCGGCCCATCAGTGGAGACCAAGACCTTGAAAGGACACACCTGGAAAGCTGATGAATATTCTATTGAGACTCTCCCCTGAGACCTCCCCTAAGATTCCCACCTGCAAGAGAAAGATAAATACTTTCAACACAAAGGACCCAGTGCCAGCTGTCCCCCAGGAGAACATTCCAGCACCATTCCCCTTTCCCCCTTCCCTCTAAAGACCCCAGGAGACTTGCAACCAGGAGAGCAATGGGCAGCGGCAACTTGTCCTGAGCTTGTCAGTGAGCCAAAGCAGCCCAGCCTCGGCCCTCCTGTTTCATGGTCCTAAGTGTGTTTTTGCTGCCGCCAATCAACTCTTGCATGCTTTGCTTTGCTTTACTTTGTCTCTTAATCGAAATCTCTCCTTCAAGAAGACAAGAACGGAGGTCTTGTCGTCTCATCCGTAACAGTTCTATGAATTTTGACACGTGCACAGCATAGAGCATATACTGTAATCAAGACATAATTCCAGCCGAAATTGGTTTGGCTCAGTGGATAGAGCGTCGGCTTGGGGTCTGAAGGGTCCCGAGTTCAGTTCTGGTCAGGGGCATGTGCCTTGGTTGCGGGCACATCCCCAGTAGGGGGTGTGCAGGAGGCGGCTGATCGATGACTCTCTCTCATCGATGTTTCTAGCTCTCTATCTCTCTGCCTTCTTCTCTGTACAAAATCAATAAAATATTAATATATTTTAAAAAAGACAAAAAAAGACATAATTCCATCACAAACTCCCTCTAATTCCCTCAGGCTACTCATTTAAAGTTCACTGTTTTTCTTTACTTAAAAAACCCCCAGACAATTCTATAGAACAGCGTGGCTGAGAACTGCTGCTCTGGACCAGTTGTTTCCAGGCTGAGAGGTGCCCCAGAATAACTGCAGGGGATTCTTTCACACACAGGTGGCTACTCCCACCTGCAGAGATTCCAATGTAGCGCAGTGCTACACACACCTGAGCCACAGGAAAATCAGCTGGTGGACCTCATTGATATCCTGTCTCCACCTTGATGGATCAAATCAGAATCTCTGGGGACCTAGGGATTAGGATTTTAAAAGCTCCTCAGGTGGTTCTCCTGTGTTTGAGAAGCACTGCTTTAGTGCTCCTCTCATAAGCTCCAGATATTTGTGGCGACATTCCCTAGATAATTTCAGTGAACATCCCTAATTAAGAACCATGATTCTTAGAACAAACTCTGAATTCGTACCCAGGTCCCTGCCTGTGTCTCTGGCTCCAGGGTCTACTGTCCTGTTTTCTCCAATGACACTGGTCCTCGTGCCGTTCAGCAAACACTTCAAGTTTCTTTGGGGCCTTTGCACTTGTTCTCCACGTAGCTGACTTATCTCCCAGGTTCTAGCCTCAATAGTTTAGTCTCAGAGGCGGCTTTTTCTGATGATTCCATTGACTAGGATCCCTTTGCTAACCTGCACTCTATCATTCTGTTTAAATTTTTATGTGATTTAATACTATTAAAAATGATCTAATTTACATATTGCTTACTTACTCCTGGTATGTTCTCTGTTAGTATGGAAGCTCCCTGAGGGACTTTGTCTACCTTGAATCTCAGGGCCCAGAAGAGGCTGGGCCTGAATTATTTTAACTATTTATTAAAATAATTAACCAATCAATCCCTCCGAAAGAATACTGAGCCATTCCTTATTGTCTATCAAATCAAAGCTAGCCTTTCTAACTTTCAAGACCTATCACTAACCTTGCTCATTGCTGATTTCGTTAATCTCACTTTTCTGCCTCTCCAGGATGTCCTTGAGGAATATAGAACTTAAAAAGTCCATGTTACCTGTAGTGCTTCCCTGGCCTCACCCCCAATCTTTTTTTCTTTCTTTCCTTCTTTCTTTCCTCCTCCCTCCCTCCCTCCCCCCTCTCTTCCTCCCCCCTCCCTCCCTTCTCTCTCTCTCTCTCTCTCTCTCTCTCTCTCTCTCTCTCTCTCTCTCTCTCTCTCTCTTTCTTTTCTGCCATTTCCTGACTCTCCTTGGGTCCCCAATATCTGCTGCTTATCTGGTTTGATCTCACTTTTGTTGCCTAAAGCTCCCTCCTCGGGTTCCTGCCTGGATAGAAGGCACAGGACAGGATTTGCTCACTAGTGTGTATTTTTGGGCAGGCTACTTTATTAAGCTCTAAGTCTAGATGACTATTATTAGTGTCTTTAATTGGAGTTTGAGTGGGATCCGTGGTTTTCCACAATGATCATCCAGGTCAGAAATCAGATGACCTCACAGTGGGGTCCTGGCATTGTATTTTTAAAATTTATTTTTATTGTTGAGAGTATTAAAGATGTCCTCCATTTTCCCCTCCACCTGGCTCTCTAGGCAACATGTAGCAGGGCTGAAAGCTCTGGATGAGGTAATCCACCAGGTATCTTCCATCTCTGAGGTCTGAGTGTTCAGGGTACACTCAGTGGGAACAGAGGTGTTAGCTTTTTAGAATCTGCTCCTCCTGCTTTTACCTTTGCCTTTTCCAGATTCAAATCTCCTGCACTCTGCCAAGACCCCTTTCCCCCCTCTTTCACTGGTTATTGATCAAACCAGACAAGCAGCAGATATTGGGGACCCAAGGAGAGTCAGGAAATGGCAGAAAACATTCCAAAAAAAGAGGCTTTGATTGTTTTGCCCTAATTTACTCAGTGGTGATCACAGGGAGTTGGCAGCAGTGTGGTGAACTGCAGAGAACATCAGCTCTGGATCTGCCACTGATAGCTCGACAGCTATGGGAAAGATCTAACTTCTGAGCTTCTGCTTTCTTATGCTAAAATGAATATAACTCCTACTCACTGCCCTTGGCAGGAATTTTGCCTTTTTTGACAGCTCTTGTCTGACCACCCCTCCTAACCTCATTAGTCTCTTAGAGCATCTGGTTTTCTTTATTTTAACCTACACTTTAGACTTTAGAATATCTAGACTGTGAATGTCACAAGACTATAGACCATGTTCAATGATGTATCCTACAGCCAGCACAGGATGCACTCAGTAAATATTTATCACATGAAGGTATGCACACCTTGCTTACACTGCACTGTATTTGAGAATACAACAAAGGAGCCAACATACATAAAATACTTTATGATCTATAAAACTCTACTCACTGGGACGGGGGCGGGGTGGGGTGGGAAGAGGGCTCATATTTTGAGTACTTTAAAGAAACAGTAAACCTTACCTGCAGATTAGGGTGGATAATAGCAGCAATTTCTCCATTTTCATTTCTGGGATAATCAACTTTCTCCATTATTTTATAGACTTCAACAGCACAAGGAGGAAATTCTTTCCCTATGGCAAAAACAAAGTGTATAAATGGCAACTGAAAAAAGGAAGTTCATACTTTAAGGGAAGAACAATAACCAAAAAGTGAAGACATATAGTTGCAGATTGAATGTCAAATGTAATTGGGGGAAAAAGAAGAAGTCACATGTCAGTTGAGGATGTTCATAAACAACATGAAGCCAAAAGATATTCTCGAATTATTCCCATTAACACACTCTTCACAAGTGCACCGATGGACAGTGGAAAAACACACCTTAAAAAGCCAGTGTGAGAGAAAAGAGCCTGGGGCTGGGAGTCGGGACCCCAGGACTCTAATCTCCTCACTGTGTAACCCTGAGCAAGAGGCTTAACTTCTAGAGTCTTGTGTTCTTTACCTGTCAAAGGAAGGTTTGAACCAGCTGGTCTTGGAGCTCCCATCCAGCTCTGACATTCTATGCCTGCATATGCTCAGGAGACTTGTAGCAGGTTAGGTGACTTCAGCATCATGCTCCTTCTCTTAACTAAGTACATTAACCACTGGACAGATCTTGGGATGCAGGCAGTCTGATACCAGTGGAGTCCAACTTCCTAAGATGTAGCAACATGAAGCAACCCAATGCCCAGAAACTTGAAAAAGGAGTTTACATGCACCAGGCAATGTCTGAGCAAACAGGATGAACTTTCATTAAATGTAGGGCCCACAGTGTGCTATGGTTGCAACTTAAAAGAAAATCTTCCTTTTCCCTTAGAGCAGAAAGTACAACCAGGTTGGAAGGTGGATATCCTGTGGTCACTTCTGTATCAGTTAGATTTGGCTGCTTAACACACTATCCCAAAACTTAGTGGCGTAGAACCATGATCCTTTAATTTATCTCATGATTCTGTGGGTTGGTTGGGCGGCTCCTCTAGTTTAGGCTGGCTTGGCTGATTTCTAATTGGCTTGCTCATACATTTGAGATGAGCTGGCAGATCAGCTGGAGGCTAGGTGATCTAAGATGGCCTTACTCTCATGTCTGGCATTTGACAGGTGTCAGCTGGAGCTACAGAACTATTGGCTAGGGTGTCAGAGTCCTTTACTTCACAGCTTCCCATTATCCAGAAGGATAGGGTAGACTGATTCCCATATGGCAGTATGGGGTTCCCAAGGGCAGCAAGAGAGCAAGCCCTAAGGTGCAAGTCTTTTTCAAGCCTCTTCTGTGACACAAAATAAATCACATGGCCAAGCCAAACTCAGGGGGTTAGAGAAATTGACTCCATTTCTTGATATTATAGAAGGATTTAAAACATCACATTGCAAGGGCATGGATGAAGGGAAGGAAATAATTTGTGGCCATTTTTACAATCTACCAAACCTGTCAAGGTGAAGATGGAAATTTATTAGATGTCACCTTTTTAAACCAGAAGGTCCATTGGGAGGGAAGGAAAAAGAGGTAGGACACCAAGGAATATGTTTGTTGCTACTTAGAATCTCAGAGTTAGAAGGAGCCTCGAATGCCTGACTTCATTGATGCTTGGGTATTCTCCACATCTTTCTGGCCAAGTGTGGGCCATTCCACTGTTGGTCAGCTTTGTTAATTGGAAATTTCTGTCTCCAGTTAACTTGATCTCACTGATTCTATTCTTCCCTCTGAGTCACAGAAAACATGCCTAACTGCTCTCCAATAAAGCACTTCTGAAACTCTAAAATAGAATTACCCTTAAGCGTTCTTTTGGCCAGTCTCAGTATTCTGAGTTCTATCTATCACCAGCCACATGTGGCAGGTCCATGAGGATATATGTGAAGGTACTTTGTAAACTGAAGTTCTATGTGCATCTGAGGGATTACTTTTATCATGGTTTTCAAACTTTTCAACTCTCTCCTTGGCTAACTTCTACTTTATAGACGTTCCTCCTGAAATAGGACTCAAAATTTATTCACAATTCTCCAGGTGCTGTTTAGCCAAGGCAAAAAAAAGAGGCCATCACTGCCTTCATTTTAAAAAACATAAAAGCAAAACTTTGTTCCTGATGTATTTAACCTAAAACATTCGGTTTAGACAATTGTTAAAGATTGTCAGGATTTTTTGGATCCACCTTCTGAACATGTTTTCCTGCAGGCTTCCTGCCACCTATCACTCGTATAAAGTGCATGTCTCATCCAAGCCACTGATAATAATGTTGAGTAGCACAGAGCCAAGGATGGAGCTTTTCTGCACATTTCCAGAGACTTTTCTCCAGGTGGTTATGATCAGCATTCTTTGGATAATGCTACTTTTCCACGCAGGGTAAAAAATCCACCGAGATTGATAGTCTAAATTAATAGTGGCTTAAAATGTTCAAATCACAGAACCCGTTGCTTAAAAGAAATGTTACAGGGTAAGAGCAATAGAACAGATAGAACTGCTTTGATTAAAGGACAGGGGTTTGTTTGTCTTGGAGCTACTAAGACAACTAACTACTAGATCCCCACCCCTCTGATAGGAATCTATGGACTATGATTTGAAAACCATGTTTTTCTGCTCAGATTTGTGGTCTTCTACTCAGGGCATCACTTCTTAGCATTCTATATTCCCATACTTACTATAATATTTGAAGATGTGAATAAGTGGTGACCTTTCCAATACCGGGCCCATTATACTGTACAGAACCCACCCTCAGACAAAGGTGGCGACCAGCTGATTTTCAGTCTTTATGATTTTGGAGTCAAAGGATTCCCAAGCACAGAAAAAAATGCCTGTGTCTGCAGTAAGGTGCAATAAGGTGACCTTAAAGAATTATATTCTCCATAGACACTGAACTATCCATCAGCTTTGTCACTATTTCTCAACAACATTTTGACCCATTTCTCAACAACAATTTGAATTCAGCCTGTTGGAATAATTATTTCCAAAGGATGTCTTTTTTTAATTTTATTTTTATTTTAAAAAATTAAAGTAAACTTATTCTAACAATAATTAAATAGACTACTTGTTTTTGCTGTAGTTTTAGATTTACTGAATATATGAATAGATAGTACATAAAATTTCATATATCTACCAATTAAATTACATATATATGTAATATATATATATATATATATATATATATATATATATATATATATATTGATTTGAGAGAGGAAGGGAGAGGGAGAGAGACAGAAATGCTGATGACAGAGAATCATTGATAGGCTTCCTCCTGCACACCCCACATTGGGGATCAAGCCTACAACCCCTGGTTTATAGTTGATGCTCAACCACTTAGTCACACCAGCTGGTCTTATTTCTTTTTTCTTTTTTAAAAATATATTTTATTGATTTTTTACAGAGAGGAAGGGAAAGGGATAGAGAGCTAGAAACATTGATGAGAGAGAAACATCGACTAGCTGCCTCTTGCACACCCCCCATCGGGGATGTGCCCGCAATCAAGGTACATGCCCTTGACGGGAATCGAACCTGGGACCCTTCAGTCTGCAGACCTACGTTCTACCACTGAGCCAAACTGGTTTCGGCTGGTCTTATTTCTTAATTACAATGCATAATTCTTATTGAAAACAATTAAAACAAATTTAACCTGTTTTTCCTCTTCCCTTCCTCAATAATCACAGTTTGATGTGTTTTCTTCAAGAACTTTTCCTGAACATCCACATATATATGTATACATATTCTAGCAAGTGTTTATTATTATTATTTTAAATATATTTTATTGATTTTGTACAGAGAGGAAGGGAGAAAGATAGAGAGTTAGAAACATCGATGAGAGAGAGTCATCGATCAGCTGCCTCTTGCACACCCCTTATTGGTACATGCCCTTTATCGGAATCGAACCCGGGACCTTTCAGTCCCCACGCCAACGCTCTATCCATTGAGCCAAACCGGTTTCGGCAAGTGTTTATTATTATTGTTATTATTTTGGGGAAATTGGTATACTGCATGTTTTGGTCTGCAACTTGCTTTCTTTAATTAACAATGTATTTTGAAGCTCCTCCCATGGTAGTTTGACTGTTTACCAACTGGTGAATATTCAGGTTGTTTTGTTGGCACAAGCAAAGCTATGGTAGCCACCTTTGTATATGACATATGGGGTGTGCGTGTGTCTGTGTTTATTTGAGATGCAGAATTGCTGCATCATAGAATTTGTGCATTTTCAAAAGTGGGTACTGTAAAATTATTCTTTAGCATGTCTTTCCCATCCTCCTTTCCTATACCCTTACCAACACAATACTATCATGTTTTAATATTTTTCTACTCTAATGAGAGAAAATATTTTCTCATTTTAATTTTCATTTCTCTAATTACTAGTAATATTGGATGTTTGTTCATGTGCTCTTTAGATATTTGTATTTCTTAGTATATCATTGTTGTTGTTTTTTAAATGGGGTTAATAGGAAAATTAGGAGAGCCTTAATTGGTAGTGGCTTTTCTTGAATGTGTCTATTCTTGTCATTGAGGAATGGCTGAAGTGAATGAAACTTTTAAAAATCACCTAATATCCTGAGCATGGCAAATTTGACCTAGGCTACAATTGCTATTTCAGTGTTTAGTAATGAAGTTAGCATGTGTGCTCATCTCATCTCTGTTTTCTGATATATTTACACACACACACACACACACACACACACGTTAACAATTAACAACTCTTGTTTACTACTTACCTTCATTGAAATTATGTATAAAATCAAGAGCATATTTAATCATTTTTCTCATTTGATCCAAAATATCAGCTCTCAGAACCCCTTGAGGCTGGGGACCAACTTCTATGCCTAGGTACAAAATGGGAGATAGTCACATTTATGTAAGCATTAGAGTATAAAATTAAACATTTTAAGATATCAAGATATAGAATTCCAATCATGAAAAATTGGTACAAAGTTAGGCCATGTAACACCATGAAAAATTATTTGAGACATAATGTTGGGCAAAAAATAAGGCAGAACATTTACACGTTCAAGTTCTATGCAAAGTGAATGAAGACTGGGAGAGAACATGAAAAAAATCAGTTATGTTACAGTTGCAAGATCTTAGGGTCTTTTTTTTCTTTAAATTTCATTCAATATTGCCAAAATTAAAAAGAAATCATACTAAAGTCAAAGGGATGGGAAAATACATACTGCAATATAAAAAGCTGCCAAACGTATTAGTAGACATGTATTCTAGCTAAGAGCAGCATTGCCCCACAGACGTTATACACCAAGATTGCTCTTTCAGCGTTTGGGAAACATATGCTTTATTTGGTGTCACAGAGAAACAGGTTTTCTATCTCTTATTGTTAAGCATTGATTTGTTTCAAATAATTACCTAGACTTGGATATTTAGCTTGTTCCAACTGATTCTTTAATTATGCACCAAAAGTATCACTTATTAAGTAAGCAAAATGATTTTAAATTTGCTTACATTGTTTGACAACTTTTGTTAAATTATATACTAGAGGTTTGTGCACGGTTAGGGTCCGTAGGCCTAGCCAGCAATCAGGGCTGATAGGGGCCTTCTGGCTGCTGGGCTGGGGCCTCCCTTCCCCAGCTGCTGGCAGGGGCCTTCTTTCATTTCACATGGCCCCCTGGTGGGCAGCACATGTCATAGCAAGTAATAGAACTGGTGGAACTCCCACAGGGACACTTTGCATATTAGTCTTTTAATATGTATAGATTTTTATTTATTTCAGAAAAAAAAGGGTGAGGGAAAGAGATAGAAACATCAATGATGAGAAAGAATCATTGACTGGCTACCTCCTGAACACCTCCCACTGGGGATTGAGCCAGCAACCCAGGCATATGCCCTTGACTGGAATCAAACCTGCGATTCTTTAGTCCACAGGCCACTGCTCTATCCACTGAGCCAAACCAGCTAGGGCGACAACTTGTTTTGAAATTAAATTGCTCTTGGTAAGACTGTGACAGCAATTTTAATGATTATAGTGTAATCTGCCAATAATTATGCTAATAGGGCATTTAGGAAGGAGAGTGGAATATAGAAAAAAGAGACTCTTTGTGTGAGAGGGTTATGAGAGTGCTTGCTTGCATGCTGGAAGTTCTGAAAAGTAAGATGAGTTCACAGTCCAGTAACTGATAGGGCGAACATGTGAATGGATAATAGTTTATGGGACACTCTACTGCAAAGAAGGAGCTAAGTGGGATGTTGGGAGAAGATTTTCCATGGATCTTTTGTGTTTCTGCCCATCTTACCAGCAAATCAATGATTGCCGTGGTTCCAAATTATTTTTCAAAAATATTTGTATAGTGAACAGTATTGAAAAATAGGAATGATGTCTTCCTTGGAGCAAAAGGCAGGCATGTTTATTGTACATTATAAAAGACTCAAGATCTCCCAGCTTATTGTTTCCTTTATGAAATGCAGAAAGTTGCTCAGTGAAATTGAGGAATTATTTTATATAGTTTGAACCTACCCAGAGTGAGTTTGCTTACTACTTGACAATTATAATTGACTATTATAAGTCATAGTGATGAGCTAAGGTAGCTGCAAATATTTTTAAAAAAGAATTTTCTCAGAGTTTCGTGTAGGACATATTTTGTTCAGTTGTGACAATGCAAAGTATGACTTACCAACAGGATACTTGGCTATAGAACGAGTGGTTGCATATTTAAGGGAAGGATGCTCAATAAGATAAATGTAGCAGGGTAATGGAGCCAAAGAGGTCTGAAATGAATTGAAAACATCTTTCTCATTATGTCAAGACCATACGTTTTGTTCTCTTTGCTGCTAGAGAGTCAATAATGCCTTCAATATATTTTACTATATCAACTAAAATTAGTAAGACAGTTTTATAAAACACACTCTAAAATCCAATGTTGTTCTAAAAACTTTGAAAACATAAATAAACTACATATAAATTGAATGATGCATGGTTTCCTGGGTAAAATGTACATTAAATTATCAAGAACCATGCTTAAAGAATATGAAATAAAATTTTTTTTCTGAATGGATTTGGTTGTTTCTTTTTAAAAATAAGTGGTTACACTTTCTGTTTAGCTTAGTAATGCTCTTAAAGAATTTTGTTTCTGCATGGCTGGTTTGGCTCAGTGGATAGAGCATCGGCCTGCAGACTGAAAGGTCTCAGGCTTGATTCTGGTCAAGGGCATGTACCTTGGTTGCCGGCACATCCCAAGTAGGGGGTGTGCAAGAGGCAGCTGACTAATGTTTCTCTCTCATTGATGTCTCTAACTCTCTATACCTTTCCCTTCCTCTCTGTAAAAAATCAATAAAATATTAAAATACATTAAAAATTTTTTTGTTTTTAACACTATAGTCCAGGTCTCTGAATGAGAATTCAAGACAGGCCTCTCAAATTTGATAACAATGTCAGCTATGCTGCTTCCATACCCAGCAACCAAAGCATTTAGCTTTTCTTCAATGAGCAATGAAGAATAGCTACATTATGATATCCTACTAGAACTACCTAGTTATTGTCAAAAACTCAAAGGAAACAAAAATAATAATTAATATCTACTGTCTTCCAGACATTAAGCTAAATGATTTAAATACTTTATCTCATTTAAGGTTTTTAACAGCCATATAAGTAAATGTTACTAAGTCAACTTTATCAAATGAGGAAAGCAATGTATCTTGTCCAAGGTTAGTGAATGAGAAAGCCAGGATTTGAACCCAGGTTCTCCTGGGTACTTGAGACAAACTCTTTCCATTAAATCATACCAGCTCCCTGGAAAGAAGGAAAGGTATTTATTACACAATAATAAGCATACAGATGATTATTTGTATTTTTGCTTGGTTGTTATTTCCTAGCAATTTTTCTCTAGCTACATGCACTGTATTGCTAAATTTTTCATCTTGTAGATTTCTGAGCCTTAAAATGATTAGCTATATGAAATACTGAAAGATCAGATGTATGCTGGGGCATCTGAATCAAATGGAGAGAAGGACAGACTAAAGAGAGATAATATTTTAATCGTTGGTCTATAGTCAACATTAAATGACTATTTCTGCAGCTTTCTAAAACTATAATTGAACTACTTCCACGACACCATTTTAAAGTTTGGTATTAATTTTACCAAATATCATTTGATTTGACAGCTGTCTGGATAAAAGATTTATAATTTTATAGATACGAGAATCTATAAATGTTTTATTATTCACTGTATTTATTATTTGATTCATTTCCTCTCCCTTTTCTCCTGCTTGTGACCACAACCTCCATTCTGGTGCTCCTCCCACTTCCCCATCTTTCTTAGACCCGCCCTCCTGACACTTTTCTGGTTGCTTTATATCTATAATTGATTTAAAAGTACAGGTATTATGCTAACTTATAAATTAGTAACATTGACATTACCTTAATGTAATGAAACATCTGAATTAAAAAGTCATTCCTGGAATCTTCAAGAATAAGAGTGCACCCCATATTAGAAGTAGTATTGTGAAGGTCAAAAATAACGTCATAGGAATCTTCACTGTCTTTTGGACCAAATAAGTGATTTATTTCTTGAGCCCTTCTCACTTCATATGGCAAATCCTCTGACATATTTTTGCTGTTATTAGCAAAAAGAAAAAGATTAAAAATATCCGTGGCTGATATAATACAAATACACAAAAAGAACACAGTGTAAAAGGAACCAGTTGCCAAACTTTAATATGAAAAACCTGTGAGGGAAGTGGAAACTTATTTGAAAACTTTACTAATGAAAAATTACAATTTTTTTCTTCATTTGATTCTACGTACTGTTGCATTGGCATGATTGCAAATAATATTTCATTTATATGGCTGTCAAAGGAAGAACATTTCAAACAGAATTTACCACTTGACTTCAACCTCAAACAAAATTTATTCATTGATCTAATCAACAATTTCTTAGTAGTTATGTGCACCAAGATATTCTGGGCCTAGTCTAGGGGTGGGGAACTTTTTTTCTGCCAAGGGCCATTTGGATATTTATAATGTCATTTGCAGACCATACAAAATTATCAACTTAAAAATTAGCCTGCTATATTTGGTTTGACATTTAGTTACTTCACCCCTAATGCCTTGGCAGGGCCAGACCAAATGATTTCCTGGGCCTTATCAGCCCACAGGCCGGATGTTCTCCATCCCTGAGATAGACAATCAAATGCAATTATTTTTGTCCTATAGCTAATTCCAGTGCATCAAAATAGTTAAATTTAGATAAAGTTCACATTCTTAATTGAGGTCTTGGAACTACTAATGATCCAGGGATAAATTTTACAGACAAGTTTGTAAACCCTGAGAAAATGCAAAACTTTTGCAAGTATATGCACATTTTTTTCTAGGATAAAGCTTAATAGTTTTTATTGAATTCTGGAATGAGTCTCTACCTGTCCCCTTCTCCCTTCCAGCAATAGATTGGATACATTTTTTTCCTTACTATACATGATGATGATTTAAATTTATTTTCCTGCATTAAACCAACCATTTCTCTATAATTCCATCGACATATTTCTATTTCCTGACTATTTTTGCTACTATCTTCAAGGGACTTTGCATCTGGATAATTCCTGCTTGGAATGCAATCAAGAAGGCGGAGCAGCTGTGTTTTGGTTAGAAAGCAAAAACTTTGAGGATAAAAGTGCACCTAAGGATGGTGCAGTGGGAAGATGGGAAGAACTTGTGGCATTTATGATATAATTGAGCTATTGCATCTCTGGATTTATTATTTGTGAAAAAGAAAATCTTATTTATTTAAGCCACTGTCTTTATGTTTCTGTTGTATATAACCAAACATAGTTCCTAATAAATATATAGTGTACAGATGATGTGTTGTGGAATTGTGTACCTAAAATCTGCATAATTTGTTAACCAGTGTCATCCCAATAAATTAAATAAAAAGGAAAAATACGACAAAAAGTTAATTTATGTCCTGGTTGGCATGGCTCAGTGGTTTAAGCAATGGCCTGAATACCAGGGGGTTGTGGCTTTAATTCTGGTCAAGGGCACATACCTGGGTCATAGGTCTGATCCCTGTCCCTGGCCAGGGGGCCAGTCACATTGATGTTTCTCTCTCTCTTCTATCTCTCTTTCCCCTCCCTTCCACTCTCTCTAGAAATCAAAGAAAAAAAATACCCTTGGGTGAGGATTTAAAAAAGTTAGCTCACAAAACATCTCTATTAGATCCTCTCATTCTCACCTGATTTGCTTCTAATTCTCCCACCCAGTTGCTCAGAGTCAAGTTTGAAGTTTTACTCCTCGTGCCTGGAGGTTTGGTCCTCAGGAAGAGTCCCAAAGGAGGAAGCTGAAAGAATAGGCAGAGGAAGATACTAAAGGGTGCATCACCCTAACTGCTACTGAAATCTATCCTGGGTAAGAGATTTGTGAAGAATTTTCCATAGGGGAGAGACATAAGATTTGCATGTTAGGAGGATTCCATGGCAGGAAGGATTGGAGTAGACCAGATGCAGGAAGATTCTTCAGGAGGCTCCTCCGACTGCCCACAGAACACATAAACTAAGGTAGTGAAAATGCAGAGGAAGATGACATAATTGGGAAAACTTAGTGATCCACTAGACATGAGGGGTGAGGAATGAGGAAGGTTCTAAGATGATTTTCTTTTTCTAAAAAAAAAATATCTTTATTGATTGCAGAGAGGAAGGAAGAGAAAAAGAGATAGAAACACCAATGATGACAGAGAACCATTGATTGGCTGCCTCCTACACATCCCTGTATATCAAGCCCACAACCTAGGCATGTGCCCTTGACAATCCTGGGACCCTCAGTCCACAGGCTGACGCTCTATCTACTGAGCCAAACCAGATAGGGCCTGAGATGATTTTCGTAGAGGATTTGGTGGGTAATGGTGATATCACTGAGATGGAGAACATAGGAAAAGTAACTAATTTGGGAGAGGAAGGACAGGAGAAGGTAATCAATTTATGTATTTCATAAATGTTCATAACCCCACTGAGAGAGAACTGTCTAGCCTCTGAATGGTGTTAAAATGTAAGAAGTAGAAGGCAAATTTAATTTAAAAGACTGCTCTCACTGAAACACATACTACTGAGCGTTCCTAAGAAAACTCATCCTAGTTCATTTAAGAGTTATTGGTAAGTTAACATGTCATCTATATGAGTTATACTTCAACAAATTCTTACTTATAATATGAGTCAGTTAACAGCTATTTAAGTGAGCAGATAAACTTTAATTATATTGACAAAACCTCATTCATGAAGATAAAGCATTTTTGAGGTTAAAATTTATGCTAGTAAAAATAGGATTGGATATACAAAGTATGACTGATGTCTAACTGCCCTGGAAAAAAATCTATTCCATAAAGTGATGCATATTTGTACTAAAATTAGTAACCAACTTTTGATCTGAGGTGAGGTTATACTTAAGTAACCCTCTAAACTCAAATGACCATTTATTAGAAAATGAGTACATAAAGCAGTGCTATGTTAGTTGTTCCTGCCTCATCTTATATCTTAGCTACTCATCTATGAACTCCTTAAGGGTAGAAGCCATGTTTGCACATAGCTTTGTACTTCCACAGTAACTGGCACAGTGAAAAGTAGGTATTTAATAATATTTTTAGACAAATGAAAGAAGTGATAAAAAGAAAATACTTAGGAACCTACATATCTACAATAGTAGCTATAATAATGTAAACAGAGGCAAAAATAACTAATCAAAACATACCTGGAGTGTTATGGTTGAATACTTTCATTAAATATTAAACAAAATGTAACACTTTTCTTAACTAGAACTTTATATACTATCATAAACGTAGTTGCATGAAAACATAGTAGTGAATCACTTAGAAAGCTAACAAGTACGTAAGTACCTGAGTACAGTGACCAAATACTAATTTAATGCAAAAGACTATTAATTCTGGTCTTTTAAAGATAGATTTAAAAGTAGAACATTTGTTATTTATCTCAGTCTGTACAGAATACATTTAAAAATACATTTAGCAATGCTAAAGTGTAGTCCGATGCTTAAAAAAGTTTATGAAAGAGCATGTGAATGCTCAGTTTAGAGAAATAAATAATTCATAATAAAGTGCAATTAAAGTGAAAATGATCTTATTCACAACAGCCACTATATGAATAGACATGAATAGCACACAAATATGTGTTTTCTCCCACATATCACTACTTTTCACACACACACACACACACACACACACACACACACACACACGCTCACTATATATAGTCTTACCCAAGATTTCCAGGGTCAAAAACTCGATTCAGGTCACAGTCAATATATCTGGTACACTTCTTCACAGCTCTTGGGTTGGTGATAAATGGTTTTACCTCCAGCCCTGTTCTCTGAATCTCAGCGCCATGATCTAGCCAGTGCTTGACCAGAAATACTCCTGTTAGCTCATTCCCATGAGTCCCTCCAAAGATAGCAACCTTTTTTATGGGATCTTTAACAACATGGTAAGTCATTTTATCAAGTAATTTTTGTCTGATTTCTGCAATTCGGGAGAAAAAAGAGCAAAGAAAACTTACTTTCTTAAGAAACGTTTAGAAATCTAAACCTAAATGAGACTTTTACCAAAGGGCAAAGTGCAGAGTTCTCTTGAGTGGCGTGTATTTTAATATTCTGTTGCAAGCCTGAGCCCTGTTTATTATAGGGCACTCCCTTTGTTAGCCCTGCCCTTTACCATATTTGGATCAAAATATGCAGAGATCAACTGGAGTTACAGCTATTTACTTTAACTTCTAACTCCCTCAAATGGTTGGCAGATCTAAATGCAGTGATAAATCAGTATCTCACAATAAGACAAAAATTGTGTTTTCTCTAGAATGCCATCTAATGGTGATTTCATGACCATGTGTAGTAATAAAAAGTTTATACTTTTCTAAATATACAAATATAATATGCATATTATTCTTCAATATTTATAATTTCTACTTGTGTTTAAAAAGATTTCTTCTCTGAAATGAGTTCAGGTAGAACCTCCTCATCTGAGAGCATTTGAATCTTAGCTCTACAAACAGTTCCAAAGGCAGATCCTCAGAGACCTCCTCTGGAACTGCATCATTTCTTTCAGAATTCTTTTTTATTGTCAGACACACAAGAACCAAAGCAATGATCACTGAGACTTAAAAAGCTATTTTGAGACATACTTTTAATTTATTTTTCATAAGTTTTTGGTAATCCTCTGTCAACTTCTTTAGGAATTTTTCTCACTTTTTGGGCTCAATGCTCACTCTTTTTTTTTTTTTTTGGCACAATGCTAAAGAAAAAGTAACTTAGTGATTTTCAAGTCTTTGTAATGCCTGAAAATGTCTTGGAGCATGCTATCTGTGCTAACCAGATTATATGAGTTTATGTATAATAGATACAGTCAGCCCAATTTACTGGCAGCAGAGGCTCTCCACTGGGCTGTGTTACTCAAGAGGGAGTCTTATTAGGGGAGATTAGCCAGAACACTAAGATGGCTATATAATCATTTGGAGATATGATTCTGAACCAAACCTGATTAGATGTCATGCTCAGTCATCCAGAAAGTCAAATGTGATCAAGTACTGCAAACCCTGTGTGCACTACTGTGTTTTCCCGAAAATAAGGCATCCTCCGAAAATAAGACCTACTTACAGGTTTCCTTCTGAGTGAAATATAAGGCATCCCCTTGAAAATAAGGCCCCCCTCTAGGCTAAACATAAGAGATTTGGTCCACTGATTCTGAAAGAAATGGAGTCACAAGAAATTCACCAGGAAATTCAGAAATTGGATTGTTATGATGATGTTCCAGAAGATGATATGATTGTCATTGAATAAATGAGTAAATTCTTGATACTGTAGGATTCACAGTTTGTCTGGTTTGTGTTGACAACTACCATACTACCGTACCGTATACAGGTAATAAATTTCCTTTATTTTCATTTAACAATAAATGTGTACCGTATTCTTCTTCATGGAAAAATAAGACATCCCGTGAAAATAAGACCTAGCGCATCTTTGGGAGCAAAAATTAATATAAGATACTGTCTTATTTTCGGGGAAACAGGGTAGCAATGCCAGATTGTTTGCTAGGGGTGCAACAAGAGGAGTTCATTGCTGCCGAGCAGTTTAATCTGTCATGTTTTTCTGAGCATGTTATCTCAGTTTATTCACATATCCACTTTATAGGATGTGGTAGGTACTGACACCCCATTACAGGGTTAAAGGAAAGATAAGTTAAGCAACTTGATGAAGGTTCCTCAGCTGCCAGGAGAAAACCAGGCCTGGGACCCAGGTTTTGTGATTTTTAAGTTCAAGTTCAGTGTTTTTCCCAGAACAATAGGGTGCTTCCTGTTCATTTTGGCCTTCCCCAAAGTTCTAATTTTGCTCCTTTGGAATTCACATAAACAGTCACTACAGTGTGCCTCAGAAACAAGCATACAAACAAAATACATGATAGAAATACAAAATGTGAAAACTTCAAAACATTTACTCAACCAATTGCTATGGTCTTTCTTTAAAAGATGATAATGTAGAGATAGTGAAAGCAAAATAGTGAAATCTAAATTTACATATTAAAGTGACTGGCCTACTCTAACTAAAAGCCCCTGTAGCTTTTGATTTTCTACCCATATCATTGCACACTTGAACACTCCAGTGTAGAGAGGCTGAAAACGAGCATAAATACAAACAGATGATAGTCATCTTGTGTAGTTACGTTGGTTTTAAGAGCAGTAGCTATGGTGAATTATTAACACTTCCTTATATTTTGTTAGGATTTCTGACAATTTGTGGTTAGTGGTGTCCTTTGCCCTAGTCGTTCTGGAAGTGCTGCTTCAGTTATTTACTCGTAGCTGGCACAGATGACTCCTATTTCAAGATTCGTTTTATGGAATTTTAACAGATCAGCACTTTGAAGCCCATTTAACATTCAGAAGTAAAGTTTCCCTTACATACAAAATGAGTAACTTTTTTGATAGTTAATAAATTCCTGTAAATCTGTCCCATACTTACCTTGTTTATTGTTAGAGTCTGTCTTCTGTGGAAAGCTTTATTAGAGAAAAGGAGAGCATTTCCTTAGAGCTAGAGCAAGCGGCTTTTCATACTCTTATACCCAGTTAACTTCCGAAAGATTTTAACTCCCTGTTTCCCAAAGCACACTAAAATTTAGAGCCCCACAAAAACCACATTAAAAAAAAAATTAGTCTAGTCCTAGCCGGTTTGGCTCAGTGTGTAGAGTGTCAGGCCACAGACTGAAGGGTCCCGGGTTCGATTCCGGTCAAGGACATGTACTTGGTTGCAGGCTTGATTCCCAGCCCTGGTCAGGGCATGTGCAAAAGTCAACCAGTTGATGTCTCTCTCTCATATCGATGTTTCTCTTTCTCTGTATTTCTCTCTTCCTTTCACTTTCTCTAAAAATCAGTGGAAAAATATCCTCTGGTGAGGATTTTAAAAACATTAGTTTTTTGAAAGTTCAGGTTAACTATTATTATTATTTTTTTAAATATATTTTTTTATTGATTTTTTACAGAGAAGAAGGGAGAGAGATAGAGAGCTAGAAACGTCGATGAGAGAAACATCGACCAACTACCTCTTGCACACCCCCTACGGGGGATGTGCCCGCAACCAACGTACATGCCCCTGACCAGAATCGAACCCGGGACCTTTCAGTCCACAGACCGACGCTCTACCACTGAGCCAAACCAGTTTCGGCCAGGTTAACTATTAGTATACAAAGTGGAACGCTTTCTATTATAGTTGTCACAATCTCACTATTAGGTTGAATATTTAATGTTTGAAGTACAAAAAGAATAAGCCTAGTAACTTCCAGTGCTAAAATTATTTTGTGTGTGTGGATAGTGGTGGTGTCAGATTTATTGGTAAAATAATGTAGTTTAAAGCAAAGGGAGAATAAACTTTTTATAGTCATGGCTATTCAATAGATCAATGCCCGAAATTTTGTGGGAGTCAAATTTCAGGTGGGATTGTTTTCAAAATAGTATGATTGAGAGATAAAGAGGATCTTTTCTCCAATATTCTAGATAAGGTGTCTCATATATAATGTGCAAGTTCAGCAGTCATGTAAACAAACTATTCTACTTTAATTTTCTTTTTTCCCTAGGGCAGTGGTCCGCAAACTCATTAGTCCATAGAGCCAAATATCAACAGCACAACGGTTGACATTTCTTTTGAGAACCAAATTTTTTAAACTTAAACTTCTTCGAACTCCACTTCTTCAACATAGACTCTCCCAGGCCATGGTATTTTTGGAAGAGCCACACTCAAGGGGCCAAAGAGTAAAATGTGGCTCTTGAGACACAGTTTGCTGACCACGGCCCTAGGGTCAGCTGTCACCATCCTGAACGATTTTCTAGGTGGAAATAAATGATAGCCAGGATAAAATGGGGATAAGATAGGTAAGTTTGTAAGCTGCTATCAAAGATTCCACCTTGCTAATGTGTGTAATTCCTTACAGATATAGTACAGGATGTTGTTCATAGTGGGTTTATAGTTTTCTTCTTCTTCTTCTTCTTTTTTTTTTAAATGCTTTAAAAATGATTTGAGAGAGAGGAAGGGAGAGGGAGAGAGAAACATGGATGAGAGAGAGAAAAATATCCATTGGCTGCCTCCAGCATGACCCCAACTAGTGATTAAGCTTAAAATCCAGGCATGTGCCCTGGCTGGGAATTGAACTGGCAACCTCTTGGTGCATGGGGTGATGCTCAACCAACTGTGCCACACTGGCCAGGTATATAGTTTTTGTTTTTTTTTTTTTTTTAATGAGATCTTTATTTTGATACATACATGTAGACATAATATACACACCTATGTTGTGTGTATATGTATATATTATGTCTATATGTATGTATCAAGTTAAAATTGGCTTCCTACTCATTTTTTTTTTTAAAGTCTCCTCTTGGAACCATGATGAATAACAAGTCTTTTCAGACATTTTGTTTAAAATCTTTTTTTCCATATTAAATGAAGACTATTTCTTCAGATATATTCTGAAGTTTAGTATTCAAGGTTCATTAGCTGATCTCAGTCTACCTCTAATCCTATCTTCTCACATTCTCCTTTGTCAGACCTAATCTTCAAAGAAAGCACTCTTAATCTCATAGTTCATAGTCCTAGGCTTTTACTAACAACCTTCCCTCCATCTCTGTGCACCCTACACCTCCTCCTGTCACCCATTCCAGACTTCCAATGGTTGGAACGCATGGTAACAACAAAACATGGTCTTTGAACCCAGACAGAACAGAATGACTAGCCCTGGGCCTATAGCAAGCACTCAGTAAATGGCAGCTTGTTATTCAACAAGGGCTAACATTTATATAACATTTACTGTGTGCCAGGACTGTTCATTTTCTCATTTAATACTTTGGGGGCAATTAAGTAAATATTGTATTGCTGGTTCACCAAGGGGGGAAATGCAGGTCTGGAGGGGGTAAATAACTTGCTCGAGGTCAAAGGTCCAGGAAGCAGCCTCCTGGAGCGGAGGGTCAGCGTTAAGGGTCACTGCACCATTCCGTTCCTTCCCCGGCCCAGGTCTGCGAGGCATGTGTGCTCCTCTCTCCGAGCTCTTGCAGCCCTGGCCCTGCCCCGGGCTGCCACCTAAACCCAAGCCTCAGCTCGTCCACCAGTCGGGCCTCCGGGCCGCCAGGCCCCTGATTGCTGTGACTGAGAAATTCAACCAGGCCAAGCAAGACCCTGCGACTGGTCAGGGCCTGTGACCTTCGAGTCATTCTCTTCTAGGCTTATGTGGTTGCCCCAGCATCTTCCAGACTGACGTCCAGAACCTGATGAAGGACCCCTGGGGGTGGGCAGGGGTAGGGCGACCAGGCCTCGCCCACTATTCTGACAAATCTGGGGCAGAAACCGGCTGGGCAGACCTGCCATCGTCTCACCGGCGTCTAGAACAGAATCCTTCTTCTCCGAGCGACAATACAGTCTGAAGAGTTAGTGCCATCCCTGCACCTCGTACATGACAGTGCGAGGACACAGGGGAGTGTCAACGTCATGGTTCCTGGGAGAGGGGTTATTTGTCCTCTTCGGCAGAAGGCCCAGCGCCATTGTGCCTGTGCCCAAGGTGGTGGCCTCTGCGCCTGCGCACGCGTGGAGGTGGGGTGGGGGTGGGAGGCAGGTGGGAGGGCAGCGCGATCTGAGTGCACCTGCGCAGACTGGAGGCACTCCTGGCAGGGTCTGAGTGCGCCTGCGCAGACTGGAGGCACTCCTGGCAGGGTCTGAGTGCGCCTGTGCAGACTGGAGGCACTCCTGGCAGCGGGGTCTGAGTGCGCCTGCGCAGACTGGAGGCACTCCTGGCAGCGGGGTCTGAGTGCGCCTGCGCAGGGCTGGACTTCCCGCGCTTTTTAAGTTTCCGCGACCGTTGATTGAGGCGACGGTTGACCGAGGCGGCGAGGTGGCGAGCCTGCGAGGCGACGAGGCGGCAAAACCCGCGGGTGACAGTTGGGTCTGGTGGTGGTGGGAGAGCCTAGAAGGGAAAGACTGTATTGACCCTAGTTACCAAACCACCCCAACGCCTGGGTGAGGAGAGGGTGTTGGAAGAGAGCATGAGTCCTAATAGGCCTCGTGGCCTCCCCCGTGTGTGTGTGGGCGCGCGCTCGGGTTCGTAGATGGAGCAAAGGTTCTGCTTGTCCTCGATGTCAGCCACATTAATGCGCGCTGGAAGCTGGGGTGGACAACTCAGAGCCTGGCCCAGGGGCCGTGGTCCAGGGGGCGGATGCTGCACTTTTTATTTTGTGTGCGTGAAACTCGCAAACGTGACAGCCCCCGTACCACCACTCCCCTCCCCACGGGTTCGGGTGTGAGCTGCGTTGGTATTTTTTTCTGGGCTGAGAAAAAGTCTCCTAACGGCCAGTTTGGTTGCCAGAATGGCATCGGGAATATTTCCTAACGGGCCCACTAGATCGGGCTTCACGCCCAAGTTAGGAAACAAGGCAGAGGCGGTCCCTGCCCTGACGGGTTCCAGGTTTTATGTCTGCGTTTGGAAATTAACATTTACCTCCGTACGAATTGCAGTTACTTAGCTGCGTTCATGTCTGTCTGCCTCACTGGGTAATGAAAGTTGTATCTTGCCTTTTCACGTGATAGGGAAGAGCTTGTTGAATTCAGTTGGGGTTGAACTATGTTAGGAGGCTAAGCACGGGAAACATTATAGCGGAAATTCTGTTGCAAAAGAAAAAAGCAGAAACGTGTTTGTCTTGTTGACATCTCTGGAAACTTTGAGTGGAAACATTTCGGTTATTCTGGATATTAAGTGAGGCCACAGTCTTTGAAATGACATCATCCAGAGGTCGCAGGTGCCCCCAGTGCGGTGCTGACACCTCGTGGTCAATGGTAGATGCTTCCTGGCCTTACAAGCACAGAGCTGGCCACGTGTTATTGTCCATTTTACTCTTATTAGACCAGAATTATTCTCATTGTGGGTCATTAGTTGTAAAATAAATTACATAGACTATGTGAAATTGCTACATTTAGGAAGCAAGGTTATAATACTCCTAGCTTATTTAGAACCGAGTTGAGAAAAACGGTTTATATTGTTAATTCTTAGTCAGACTCCATAAAGTGTGAACATGATCAGGTTTGAAATGATAGTTTTAAACCTTATGTTCAGTAATTATTAGGCCAAGAATTTGATTTTGTTGTGGATATGGTATGAGTTGTAAATCTCTTTCTTTGAAGGTTTAGTTCAATAACTTCATGTGCTAAAGAAAAAGGCATAGATTTTGATATTGACGGAAATGAAGAGAAACCTAAATGAAAATTCAACCCGAAGTACAGCAGGTATGAGCAACTTTTATTTTAAAATTTTCTATATTTTGCATATACCATGTAAAGCTTGTTAATATATAGATGGAGCATTTTGGAGGAATTTAAAAAAAAATGAACTTGTAGTCTAGCCTCTTTACTCTTTAGGAAATAAAATAATTTGAGGCAAAACATTTAGTGGTAGAAGTGGCAGTAAAATCATACTTCCCTGGATTTATGAGTGGTCTTCCTATAAACCCTACATGCTTGAGTTTTGTTTTTATTTGTATTTATGATTTATTTAAAGTATTTCCAGAAGCACTGCTGTCTCCCTAAAAGCTTTTCTTACCATTTCTGCTTCCTGATTTATTAGTTGCAGTGTTTCCCAAAGTGGGGTACGCGTACCCCCAGGGGTATGGGAAGAGTTTGGTTGGGGTACGCGTTGCACCGAAGTTTGGTGGGGATATGCACTGCACTGTGCTTAGCTGCGCCTAATTCTACGTTCTCATGAGTATGAGGGGTACTCATCGTTACGAAAATTATAGAAGGGTACACTTATGTCAAAAGTTTGGAAAACACTGATTAGAGGATAAGAATGAAGAGAACCAGGGAAATGATGATAATGGGCAATGAAGATAACAATAGCTATTATTTATTGTGAATGTACTATATTTCTAGACATTTTGTTATATATAGTAAAATATTTAATCCTTACACCAATCATGTGAGATGGGCATTTTGTTTTCCAGGTGAAAACTAAGGCACAAAGAGGTTGTTAAAAAGTGACTTAGGAAGTGGCAGAACCAGGTTTTGAACCTTGAAATACAGCTCTAGAGTTCATACTCTTAATCATTGTATCATCCCACCTCTCAGTATGTCCTATTGGCATAATGAGTTTAAGAAAATTGCCCAAGTTTATACTTTGAAGTTGTATGTAATTCAACCCTACTTTGAGGTTGTATCCAAACCCAGGAAGTCTGATGCCAGAGCCCATATCATTTAATGAGTTATCGCAGAGTCTGTATTCTCCTATAGTATAAGTTTTGATGGACCAGCCAGAGTATGGTACAGCGACAAGACATGTAAATTGAGATTGAGGAAGCTTGGATTGTATCTAGGTTCTCCCCCTGTGGTAGTGTGCAAACTTTTATGACATATTTTCCTCTGAGATCTCTTCTAGTTTTACTGTTTATAAATTCTGACTTTTGGCTTGACTTGAGATCCCAGGTCTTTTATCTGAAGGATATGAGGGTAGTGTTTGGATATTATCACTCTAAGCCTTAGAGTCTAAAGCATTGTCAAAATAATCCACAGAAAATATGCATTACAGATACCTGGAATGCTTGTTAAAATTTCAGTGTTTTGGCTTCCAAACTAAATCTATTGAAATAAAGTCTATGAGAGTAGGGTCTAGGAACTGGCATGTTAAGCACAATTCCAACGAAATCTTACACTAAAGTTTGAGAACTATGGTGCTAAACAGTATGCTATCATAGTCCAAAGAGTGGTTGGGGTTTTTGAAAACATGGGTTAATGTCTGGTTCTCCCTTACTCCTTTTGTACTTGAAAGCTCCCTTCTAGTTGATATGGTAATAGGCAAGCATAGGAGGAAATAAGGCAGTGTTAACCTAGAATAAGAAAGGAATTTTTACAAAATAGAAGCAGACTCATTGATTCAGAGAACAGACTGATGGTTGCCAGAGGAAAGGGAGTTTAGGGGAACCAGGTAAAAAGGTGAAGGGATTAAGAAGTACCAATTGGTATTTACAAAGCAGTCACAGGGATGTAAAATACAGTATAGGAAATATAGTCAATATTTTATTTTTATGTATGGTGCCAGCTGGGTACTTGAGATATCAGGAGGATTACTGGATAAAATATATGATTGTCTAACTACTATGCTGCACACTGACACCTGAAGCTAATAGAGTTGAATGTAAGGTGTAACTGAAAATTTAAAAAAAGATTTTAGAGAAACAAATGAGACTATTTAGGATCTTAAAAAGAATGTAAGAATCAATCAAAGGTATAAAATATGTTTATAATAAATATACAATTAACATATAGAAGTAGACAAAGTATTCTATAACTAAATCTATTTTCCTATTATATACTAATTTATTGGAACATTCAATTTAGGCTGTTTGCCTGTACCTTTGTTCAATCAGAAAAAGAGGACTAGACAGCCATTAACTTCTAATCCACTTAAAAATGATCCAGGTATCAGTACTACTTCTGACAGTTATGATTTTCCTCCTTTACCAACAGGTAAGAAAATAAATTGCAAACTTTTATTTTTTTTATAATATATTTCTATTGATTTTTTACAGAAAGGAAGGGAGAGGGATAGTTAAAAACATCGATGAGAGAGAAACATCATTCAGTTGCCTCCTGCATCCTTCCTCCCCACACTGGGGATGTGCCTGCAACCAAGGTACATGCCCCTAACTGGAATCGAACTTGTGACCCTTTAGTCCTCAGGCTGATGCTCTACCCACTGAGCCAAACCAGTAAGGGCTAGTTGCAAACTTTTAGAAAATAAGAACTAGGATTATAGAAAATTACCATTTCTATTTTATGTTTTTCTTCTTTCCATTATCCAAATATAGAGATTACTTGGCTCTTTTTGAACATTCCAGTATAGTAGTTTGAGTTTTCTTGTCTATCAGGGTAGCTTAGAATTTTAAACGGATTATCTTAGATCTGGAGCCTTTGTTTTAATGAAATGGTAACCTGTATTGTAAATAATTTTTTTTTCTTTTTCATGATACATATGGATATTGTGGTTTAGACATTTGGTGCTAACAAATGAAGAAACTCAAGTTGCCCCAAGAATAAAATGTGTATAGGAACACAGGAAGAATTAGAAAAAATAGACCTTAGGAAGGATAGAAGCCCAGGAATTTCTAGTGCTTAGCCTCAGTCTTTTTCTCTCTTATAGCATTTTTATCTTTATTTTATCTTTATTTTGTTGGCTTCCTTATAGTTTCAACAAGTATATTAACTGAGTTGCCCTTGCTGAGAATTAACATAACCTTTTAAGTCTATTTCTCAGAGCCCATATTGATCTTCTGTATCTCTTGATTCAAATTCTAGACCTTGGGAGGTTTTAAACTATACTGACTTTTTACTTATCTTTGGAAAGAAGGCATGGACAGAAAGACATTCTGAAATATACTTGGTGCACACAGGTTATATACGTTTACATTTTTCTTAAAAAATAATAGATTCTTATGCAACTAGAATTTTAAGATCAATCAATTTCTCTCTTTCTTAATACCTGTATTGTTAATTTTATCCAGTGTTCAACCATAGATTTTAATCTACTTCTAAATTTATATTATTCAACATTTAAGGGATTTGAAGTAAGAATTTCATATTTTCCAATTTTTATGGATAAAATATTCACATGAATATGCATAAATGGATATTCTGGTTATTCTTTGTCATTTAAAAAATTCTGACCCTAGCTGGTTTGGTTCAACAGATAGAGCATTGGCCTATACACTGAAGGATCTCTGGTTTTATTCCTGGTCAAAGGCTTGAACCTTGATTGCAGGCTCGATCCCCAGACCCAGTCAGGGTGTTTGTGGGAGGCAACCAATAGATGTCTACTTCTGCCTCTCCCCCTCCCTTAGATTCTCTCTAAAAATTAATGGAAAAATATTCTTGGGTAAGGATTAACAAAAATAAAAAATTATCCACCAGTTAAAATATTTTTATAAGTAGCATAATGTTGACCTTACATTAACAATAATTAGAGCTGCTCCATAGAGAAATTTGTATCCTCCTAAATACTGAACTCTACAGGCTCTGACCAGGATAACTGTCAGAGATATAAGATTCTCATATTAGGTAAGAGAGAAGACTAGATCAGTGTTTTTGACATTTTGAAAGATTGGTTGGGAAACAATCAACCTTAGAAAGAAGTAGAAGAGAGTAGAGTAGAATAGGAAATACCAGAGTGTATCACACATAGTAGGAATAAGAATTGGTGAATTTTATGTTCTTTCAACCCCTCCCACACACACGTACACTACACATACATATGTTCTGAGTTATGTATTTTTTGCTGTGGGTTGGAATAAAAAAGTTAAAGAAACATTGATTACATTGAATTCATGTTACACAGTACAAGGTACTATACTGGGATTGATTGCAGAAAAGATACAGATAAACCTATTGCTTTTGTATAAAACACAAGTGGGGAGAAAGACATCTCTAAAAATTAATCGGGCAGGCTGAGATTCCTCAACAAAGTACTGCTGAAGAACAACTTCATATCTTTAAGTTCTTTTCTTCAAGCTTTCAACTGTCAAATAAGTATGAATTATTATTTTTTAAATGCTATCTGTTTTACTTTTCTCTCTGTTATATCTTTTGAGATTGGGCCTGGGAAGCAATGAATCCAGAGTTGCCTTCTTTAACGAAAACAGTCAACACAGGGTATGTGGAAATATATACATCAATGAATGTGTGTCTGTTACTGACTGATGTTATTCTTCTATGTATATTTTACATTTTTAAATTTTGAAACAAACTATTAGTATTTAATAAGATACGTTTTCTCGAAAGGCAAATACCACATTCAGTTTCTCATCCTTTAAGAAGTCAAGATTCTGTGCCTAAGTCTATTCAGCCAAACACTGAAAGGAGCAAGAGTGGCTGGAGGTGAGTCTACTTAAGATTTCTTTCTTTTTCTATTCCTTCTCCTCTCCCTTCTTCTTTATCTTTTCCTTCTTTCTTAGACAGAATTACATTTAGGAAATTTCTCTGTTTAACTACAACTACAGCAGTTATTAGCTACATTTTATGAAAGAAGTTAAAAAAACTTTAGGTAAAATTGGTAGTGATTATATTTTCAGAGATTTCTTCATGTTGAAAGGAAATTTCTGCCAATATTTATCACTATGAATTTATGATTTTTCTATGGATTATTAGTGATATAATTGAAAATAGGCAAAAAGTCAGAAATAACTGTGTCATAATATTGAATATATTTAGAAATTGAGAACAAAATAGAATGCCCAATCTTATCCTACCTAGTAAGATAAATAGAATGTAATAAGAAAGAAAGATGGAGACTGAAATTCATATGCATCTGCAGTGGTAGAGCTCAAGAAATGAGGCCATCAAGGAAGATGGTCATTGCCATAAGAATTCAGTTCAATGCCTAAATATTGTGAAAAAATGAAAAAAAAAGGGACATGGATTACTTTTTAGGTTGGATTTTAGTATTCTTGGGTAAGTGGCAACTACTGGAGGAAATAATTTGGGAAACAAAGTATTAGAAAAAGAGCATCAAACGTATATCATATATTGGTAATTGTTTAGTGCTTTGATATGCTATTTTAATTCTGACAACAACCTTATGAAGTTAATATTACCATGACTTTTATTAAATATATAATATTTAAGAAAGGGGAAATTTAATAAAGTTGTTAATACATCAAAACAATATTTTCATTTTTAAATAATGAGTTTTTATTTTATTATTATATCATGCTAATTTCCTCAAGACCATTCAGTTACTTTCTTCAGGATTAGGGCTTGAAACTAGGCCTATTAATGGTTTTGAGATTGTTTTTGGAGGCATAGTTTTAGCTGCAGGTGCTAGGAGAAAGTTTATTGTGATAGGCATTAGACAGAGAATTAGGTAATAAATTGTAATTTGGACAGTCACCCAATCCTAAATAATAAAAGCCTAATATGCTAAGTGTCATACCATTTGTTTGACCGTTTGATCAGTTGCTATGATGCCTAATGACCACCAGGGAGCAGACACTCAGACTGGTAGGTTAGCTTGCTGCTGGGGTTTGGCTGATCAGGATTGGGAGAGATGGGCCTGACATGCTCTGGAGCCCTCCCATGGTCTTTCCCTGGCTGGCCAACTTCCTGCGGTCTCTCCCCAGCAGGCTGGCCTGAGGGACCTCATCGGTGCACAAATCTGTGCACGGGGCCTCTAGTTCAGAAATAAGAATTAATTATTAATTTTTAAATTAAGAAAATGTAAATGGAAACAACAACTAATACTATTTTTTTTTTAAACTATTACAGCTACAGAGATGGCAACAAAAATATCAGCTTCAAAACTTGGGATAGAAATGATTTTAGGCCTCAGTGCAAAAGAACAAACCTAGTGGCAAATGATGGAATAAATTCTTCTTCAATGAGTTTGGGAGTACAACAACAGAAAGAGTTAAAAGTATCTCAACTTCCTAACTTATCTTACCAAAGAGAATGTGAAGTACTCAGACCAACACATTCCTCAAAAATTCCTGGCTCTACAATGAGAAGTCTAGAAAAAAACAGTGCATTACAGGCATTTAAGCCCAATATCCAACAAAATCAATTCAAGAAAAAAATGTTAGGCGACATTCCAGAGGAAAATGCTCTCAAGGTAAGCTTTTAAATATGAGTTATTTACATTTTTGTATTTACTGTAAAAAATGAGATAAATAAGTATTTAGAAAATTATAGAGATAAGAACATTTGAAATCAATCTCATGGCATGCAGTTCAATTGGAGTGAATGAATGTTAGTTTCTAAAATATTTTCGTAGAGGTTGTGAACTGCTACTCCTTTTTATAGTTGCTTTAGAGTGTCCTACTGAGTTCTGAATTTCACTGTGTACTAAATATTGAGATGATGACAATTTATCCATTGCTTGCAAAAATTCTCCAAGCTCTCCTCAAAGTAACAAGGATTAGCAAACTTTTTCTGTAAAGGGCCAGAGGGTAAATATTGTTGGTTTATGGGCCATATGGTCTCTCTTGCAACTACTCAGCTGTGCCACTCAACTCTGCCATTGTAGCTTAAAAGAAGTCATAAACAATACATAAATGGATGAGTGTGGCATGTTCCAATAAAAATTTATAAAAACACAGCAGGTTATATATGGACTACAAGCTATAGTTTGCTGACCTTCGCTCTATAATCTGGTTTTATTTTACCTCTAACCTCTTGTTTCATATTCACTAATTCTCCAATGCACTTGACATTTTCAGATATTCACAATTCTTTAAACATGATATACAGGATAATACGACTCTGCTTTGGCTTATGTTCTTCCTATATCTGTACTTCCTTCAGCCTTACTTTCTGTTTCCATTCTTTACTGTTATTGTTCTTTGCAAATGTCTTTTCCAGTAGCTGGTTTGCTATCTTTCCTCCCTTGCCTCCTGGCTCAATGGATTGTTTACCCTGTGTCCTTCTCTGTGCTCTGGAAGGCTGAATTGTACTACATAGTGCATCATCCTAGGATCCCTTAACTGATTTCTGTTAGGGGTCAGCCAGTGGGAGTCACTGGCAGGACATCAAAGGATGAGGAGAGAAGTTGGGTTTTTCTATGCTCTCCCTGCTTAAATGTAGTGTTACAGGTAGTACTGTGTCCCTGCATCATATAGCCCCTTCATGAGTCTAGCTTTCATAGGTTTGCTAATTTTATTTCCTTCCCTTGTCCTTTTAGCCCAGGAGTGGTAGAGGTTGTGTATTAGTTTTTGAGGGCTTAAGTGCCTTAGGTTTGTTTTGCCCACATGTTTGTGAGAAGTCTTTTCAGTAAGCCATCTGAGGTAAATTCTTTTTCCCTCTTGTAAATATGACTAAAATAGCATGTTTCATAGTGGTTCTCAACCTTAGGTTTCCTTGTACATAAGAATGATACGACAGAGTGACTTTAATAAAAGTGGCTCATTATTGCTGTATTCCTCTATAGGAGACATTTATACCTTAGTTAAGATGGGGAGAGGGAGGAAAGGTAATTATAGTTGGAAAACAATGTCCCTTCAAGTGTTCTTAGATATGCCTTGCCCTCACAAAGGGAAGTGCCACCACCATTCCCTGAAAATTAGTATCTTAACACATAGTATTCTTAGTTGATCTTTAAAAATGTCAAACACATTCCATCCTTTACACTTGTTATTCCCACAGTCCTCACTCAACAACCTATTTAAAATAATTATCTGTCTCTTTTATGTTTTTTATCCTGTTTTTCAAATGTATAAGATATATCAATTCCTGAAATTCTATGATATATTTATTGTTTATTTTCTAAATTTCCCACTGGATGTCAAAATCTGTGAGGGTATATATTGTCTGTTTTGTTCACTGTTATTTCTTCATTACCTATGTTTGACACAGAATAATACCAATATATACTTTTTGAGTGAAGGAATGAATGAATGATTCCCCTCCTAGAGTATGAGAACATTAAGGAAAGGAATTATGTTCTTTTCACCTATATTCATCACATGTCTGGTACACAATATTAAAAAAAAATATTCAACAAGTGAATGCATCAATTGATGCCCATATAAATAATTCTCTTCTTTTTAAAAAATATATCTTATTGATTTTTTACAGAGAGGAAGAGAGAGGGATAGAGAGCTGGAAACATCGATGAAAGAGAATTATCGATCAGCTGCCTCTTGCACACCTCCTACTGGGAATGTACCCGCAACCAAGGTACATGCCCTTGACCGGAATTGAACCTGGGACCCTTCAGTCCGCAGGCCGACGCTCTATCCACTGAGCCAAACCGGGTTCAGCTTAATTCTCTTCTTGATTGTCTCCAAGTGTTTCCTAGTTTCTCCTTTTATAAAGTGCTAATGATGCCTTTAATTTATGGAGTAACTGCATTAACATTTTCAATAATTCTTTTACATATTTTACACGTGTGCCTGTTATAAATGTCAGGAATCCTTACAAAGAAATTGAAGAGTGTGATGGAAAATAAGAAATGTGTTTCTAATGCTATCATTTTATGTTTTCTAAAGGATGCCTCATTGTATCAGTTAAAACTTAAGGAAAAAGATAATTCTTTAAGAATTATATCAGCAGTTATTGAAAGCATGAAGTACTGGCGTGAACATGCCCCCAAAACTGTACTTCTTTTTGAAATATTGGGTAAGTATAATACTTCAAAAATATTTAAGTAATACTCTTAGATAATAGTGTTCAATGTCAATAGGAATACCTAAGAGATCTTAAAGAAAAAACATTTTGCAAAAGGAGATTTTAGTTAATTAGGCTTTTTTTCAGTTCCTGGGTCTGTCATTGATTTGTGACTTTATATGTATTTGCTTATTTATGTAGTATTTTTCTGATTTATAATGTTAAAACTGAAAAGATTATTACATTTAATTCAACCTTAAAGTTTGTGAGGAAATGGGGCAAATAAAATAGACTTGACTAAAAGCACAAAGCTAATCAACAGCAAAAATGGATTTAGAATCTAAGTTTCTTATTCTTAATCTAGTGTTATTTCTATTATAATTGACTAAATCCAGTAGTAATTTTGTATATAAATTAAATCATATTTTAAATACTCTGAAAGAACCTTTGTAAAGAACCCTTTACTGCTAAGAATACCTTATAATTAATGTTTTCTAAATTAATATTTAAAAGGGGAAGAGTTTTATAGAGTGTTTTTGGAATTTGATTTTACCTAGAATGAAGAGATAAACAAGAAAAAGTAGAGATTCAGAACATACTTCTTTCAATAGTTTAAGTAAACATTTAATTTAAATTATGAAATATTCTAAACATACAGAAAAATATAGAGAATATCCACTTACCCATGTTATAGATTTGAAACTTCTATCCATTTTTCTTCTAATCTAGAGATAATCACTGTGGTATTTTTCCTGTCCATGCTTTTATAATATTACTATATACATCTGATTTCATAAATTTATGTGGACTTTTAATTTATTTTTGTGTTTTAAAATACACATTTTCAGCCAGTATTATGGTTTTGGATTTTGCCATTTTCTGTCCTGCCATAATATTGTCTTTATCTTTGAGCTCCAAATGTGGCCTGTTCAACAGCTTCTGACTCTTTTCCTTTTGGCATTAAGATGCTTATCAAAGTTGTTTATACCACCCATCTTTATACCACAGTGTCACATTCTTGATGATTTCTTTGGGTTGCTCTTTTCCAGAAGCTAGAATATGACCCCTTGCATATAATTTTCTGGCTGGTATCAAGTCCACCACCTAAACCCTGTCTGTACTCTGAAGCTGGGGAAATGGGATACACTAATTGGTTTAAGTTCATCTCAATTCACTCCTGCATCTGGGGTTGGGGCCAAATTCCATTCAAATTATATGGCTAAGAATGGCATAGGAGAGGTTTTCCAAAGGAAAATCTATGTACTAATAGGGGAAATGGAGGCTGACCTCAAAAAATAACAAATGTTCACTATCAGTTTTCAGTAAGTGGCTGTTAAAGGAATAATTAATGCTCTCATTTGATACTTTCGTGAGACAAACAATTATTATTTGCATTTTATAGGATGAGACAAATTTGAAAGAGCTTAAAACAATTTGCTCAATTTAGTAAGCTGAAGAACTGGGACTCAAATGCATGCCTTTTGATTCTAATTCAATGTTTATTTTTTTCATTAAACCATGATACTTATTAGTTATATATGTGTATTTCATTATTATGTAATAAAACAATCTGAGGATTTAGCCACTTTATAGAATACATTCTAAAAAAAAGGTTCATATGGCCAGTTATTGTCAGTTGAATGAACTTTGGCATATAACCTGTTCCTGAACTTTGGCATATAACCTGTTCCTAAGTTGGAAAAGGCCAGAAATTTTCTTTCCCTTATAGTAAAACAGTTTCAGAAATACCTTTTCCTCATTAAATGTCTTCTTTATTATTGTATAAATAAAACTATGAGAGAGTTGGTATGGGAGTAGTTAAATATCAACTTCTCTTTGTTGAATTTTATTTGCATTTTACCATCAATGATTCTCCCCTCCCCTTCTTTAATGTTACGTAGGTGTTCTCGATTCAGCTGTTACATCTGGACCATATTATTCAAAGACTTTTCTTTTGAGAGATGGGAAAAATACTCAGCCTTGTGTATTTTATGAAATAGTGAGTATTTGAGTATTCTTTGCAAAGCCTATGCCAACAAAACATACAAATGTAGACTGTAATTCATTGCAATAGAAATGATGTTAACATTTTAGTTGTACTTTCTACATTTCGTTTGGTTTTACTTATGATTTTGAAATTATTTGCTTAATATGGAGGGCCTACTATGTGCCTGGCCCTGTGCTAGATGCAACATATACAAATTGGGATATGAATAGTAAATGACTCTTTCAAAGAGATTATAATCTCAGTAAAAGATGGTTATATAAATGTTACATTGTGGTATGATAAGTGGTATGCTAGAGGTATGTGCAAGGTGCTATAAAAGTAGATAGGAAGATCAGGAAAATATTTGAAAAATGTAATAACCTTTTTTTAATATATATATTTAAGGACTAAATAACCAATGTGTGTTTGGGGGAAAGGAGAGGTAGGAAGGAAAGCATGCTAAATTGAGAGAGCAGAATATTCAAAGACAAGGAGCTAAGGGAGAGCCTGGATTGTATAAGAAACTGCAAGTAGTTTATAGTTATCAGAGTGTAGAGTTAGTAAGTGATGGGAGTAAGGGTAGTAGTAGTCCTGAGGTTGGGGGAAGGCAGAGAGTGAGCTGGGATATAAGGAAGAGGCTTGGTGATGAAGAATGGGGTGACGAAGTCTGGAGCCTTATATGACTTACATACTTTGTGAATTTGGCATTAATTCTGAAATTGACTAATTCTGAAATCAGACATGGATTCTAGTTTTTATTTCACCATTTACTAGCTTTATGACCTTGAGTAACCTACTTAAACTTTCTGAGCTTCAGTTGTTTTATTTGTAAAATGAGACAAATTTATATTTTGAAAGGTTGCTTTGGAGATTAGATAATAACACATGAGTGTATAGCATTTCTGACACATAGTAGATGATCAAGAAAAGTATTATCCGGTTATTAATTTCTAAAATATCTTGAGTGTTTATTATTCTCTAGTCTTATGACTTTTATAAATAAAAACTTTATACAACAAAGTGCATAACTCATAACTGTATAATTCTGTGTTGCATCACAAAGTGAACATTACCAGGTTAAGAAATAGAACATTGCAGTTACTCCATGCATTCTTGTGCTTCCTCCCATTCACTACCTCCTGTCTCCTAACTTTTAATATCATAAGTTAATTCTGCCTCTTTTAAAGCTTTATATAATTAGTATCATATGGTATGTTTTCTTTTATGTCTGATTTCTTTCACTGAATATTCATCTTTATTTTTGTATGTATCTATAGTTCAATTATTTATATTTATATGCACAATGTTTTGTTGCCTGAATATACCATGGGTTAGTTTTCCATCTGGTTATTTCCAGAGTTCTTGCTATTATGAGTAATGTTCTATGAACATTTTTGTGTATGTCTCTTGTGCATATGAATGCATTTCTGTTGGATATATACCTAGGAGTAAAATTGCTGCATTGTAGTGTATGTGTGTGGTCTAATACAGTAGTTTCTGCTAAAGAATTTTCCAAAGGGTTGTGCCAATTTACACACTCACAATCAGTGTAGGTGAGTGTAATTTCTTTCATTATTTTCAACACTTAGTATGCCAGTCTTCTTTATGTTAGCTGTTCTAGTGAGTGTTTAGTGCTATTGCATTTCTCTACAGTTCCCAGTGACTAGTGAAGTTGAGCATCTTATACAACTTACTGGTCAATTAGGTATCTTCTTTTGTAAAGCCTGTTCAGGCCTCGTGTCTGTTTCTTTTTTGTTGTTGTTGATGTTGTTAACACTCACCCGAGGATATTTTTCCATTGATATTTAGGGAGAGTGGATGAGAGAGGGAAAGACAGATACATATCAGTGTGAGAGAAACACATCGATTGGCTGCCTCCTGCATGTGCCCTGACTAGGGCACGGGCCAGGGAGGAGCCTGCCCTTGACTGGAATCAAACCTTTGGTCCGCAGGCTGTAGCTCTACTGAGCCAAATCAGCTAGGGCTCATGTTCTTTTTTTCTATTGAGTTATTTGTCTTTTTGTTACTGATTTATAGGAGATTTTAAAAAATACTATTCTTGATACAAGTTCTTTATCCATTATGTATATTGCAAATATTTTCTCATACTTCATGGTTTGCTTTTTAACTTTTAATGGTGGCTTTTGAGGAACAGAAATTCTTCACTTTAATATGGCTCCTTTAGCAATAATCAACATCTTTCCTTACAATTAATGCTTTTTATGACAATTTAGTGAAAGCAATCCCATAATAGTTTAAATTTACTCATGATTAAGAGGCTTTGATGCTGAATGATCTTTTTCTGGTTTGTTAGTCCCATTAAGGCATAGCTCTTTTGGTTCCCAATTCTAAGCCTGGGGTGGGATGGGGTGGTTACCAGAATCTCTTTTTCTTACGAGCCTCCGATTCTATTTTTTTTTCCTCCTAGCCCTATGAGCCTGTCAAAAACTCTGCTCAGTTTCTTAGACTCTCACTGTCTTCATTGACAGATACCTCAAGGGGAAAGCATCCCAAAATATCAGGCTTCATTCTGGACTCCTCTCTTTCCCAGATAGAGTCTGTAATTCCTCATTGTCTTGGTATCTCTCTGAAATTTACAAGGAGATTTTTAAGTATTTCATCCAGCTATTCTAGTTCTTAGTTGGAGAGTTGGTATGAACTATCTTTCTGCCATCAACTGAAAGTAGAACTCTGGCAGTCTTATAGAAGTGAATAATTCATGTGCCTTTACATTGAGAATTATTCAATCTTTTAAGGAATAGCAGTTCGCTAGCTTGTAAGAAACCCTACCCAAGTAAAGGTCTTTCCTCTGTGACAGGGCACTCATATATGCCCAGCTGCTGCCAGGGCCAGCCTGACGGTTGAACCAGGCTGAGGTAGGGAGGTGGGAAGTGAGAAAAGAAAGAAATTTAGGAAAGTGGGATCTGGAGGACTACAAGTAGCCATTGACCGATTGTAGCAAGTTTATTAACTGTGCAATGCTTTTTATACACAAAACACTAATTAGGAGGTCTGCCAGGAGGAGTGTATTTCTTTGTTCCTCTTAATCTCTAAAGGAGAGATAGAGCCGAAGGACTAATTCTTAGTACAATAAATCTCAGTAGATAATTACAGACTTCTTGGCAAGACATAAAAGGTTGCTCTCATACTACAAAGATTACTTTCATTCTACTGATAATCGCCATCCAAACAAGGCAGGGAAATCTTTGGGTTAGGGGCCAGCCCTGCTAGGCCCCTCAGATGCAAGGATCTTGTCAGCTTACATCCTTCACCAATAAGCTGTCATGGTTTTGTAAGCAGTGGGGCCCTAAATCAGGTAAGAGAGTTATAGAATTTTGGGTGTTTCATATTTAGTTGGCCATATAGTTTCAAACAGTTAAAATTTAGATGAAGTAATAGATGACTATTGATATTTATCTTTTTAAAAACAGGATCGTGAACTTCCAAGACTGATTAGAGGCCGAGTTCATAGGTGTGTTGGAAACTATGACCAGAAAAAGAATATTTTCAAATGTGTTTCTGTCAGACCAGCATCTATTTCTGAACAAAAAGCTTTTCAAGCATTTGTCAAAATTGTAGATACTGAGATGAGATATTATACCAATGTAATGAATGAAATTTAAATAGTGACCTTTAAATACTATAACTTAAAGCACTTTCTGTTATTGTTTAAATTAGCATCTGCACAGTTTTATAACTATTGCTTTTCTGTATTTCATTTGTTGAACTAAAATATTTAAACACTTTCAAATGTGTAAAGAGTTTTTGAAAAATAATTTTACTGTCTTTCATAAAAAGAGCACATTTGCTAAAATTCAATAACCATTTCAGATAAAAATGTTCAATACAATGGAAACAGATACTTATTTAACATGAGATAATACATTGAGTTAGCCCCAAATCCAACTTCAAACTTAATGGGGAAATATAGAGACATTCCAATTAAAGTCATGAACAAGATGACAAGGGTGCCCACTGGTAGTACTGTTACTAAACACTGTACTGGAGATGCTAGTTTATGCAGTTTATTTAATTCACTTATTTAGTGAGCATATATTCTGTGCCAAGCAGTCTTTCAAGTGCTGGAGACAAAGAACAAAGTAACAAAAATCTCTGAACTTGATAACATTTATAATCTGTGACCGAGAGAATACTTTAGATAAAAAAATTGAAATATTAGAATTTTTGCTACTGGCAGATGATATAATTGTATACATGGAAAACCTAAGAAAATCAACTGAGAAACTACTGCAAAAATGAGATAATTTAATAAACTTAATATGCATAAATCATTAGTAGAAATATTTAAGTAACCCACAAACATTAGAGTGTAAAATGGATAAAAGTACCATTTAAAATAGAAAAATTCCAATACTAATTAAGAGTAAATGATAAGTATGGAAAATGTATGAATAAAAGTTTAAAATATTAATAAAGCACAGAATAGAAGACTTGGACAAATGGAAAAATAAATTTTCTTGTATAGAAATAAAAGATGTTTTTACTCAAATCAATTTGTAGCATGTAATTTTCTCTATGTACACACACACACACACACACACACACACACACACACCCCAGCTGATAATAAAGGTTGTGTTAAAAAAAAAAAAAAAGAATTGTCAAGAAAACTCCAAAAAGAACACTAGACAATAGTTTTATTGTATATTATAAGGCCTTAAATATATTATCTATTGCTGTCTAGCTAATTATCCCCACACCCCAAAGTAGTAGCTTAAAATAAAAAGTATTTATTCTTCTCACACTTTCAGTGGGCCAGCATTTCAGGAGTAACTTGGCTGGGCAGTTCTGGCATGTGGTCTCTTAGGAGGACCCACTTCCAAGGTGGCTGATGCAAATAACTGCCAAGGGGGTGCTTTCTGTTGGCAGGAGGCCTGTTTCTTACTATGTGGACCTTTACAAAGGGCTGCTTGAGTGTCCTCATGACATGGTAGCTGGCTTTCCTAGGGTGAGTAACCTAATAGTTACGTAGGCGGGAACTATCCTTTTTTTATGATCTATCCTTGGAAGTCACATCAGTGTACTACAGTCTTATTTGTGAGAAGTGAATCTTTTAAGTATTTACCACATTTAAGAAGAGGGGAACTAGGCTCCATCATTTGAAGGAAAGAGTTCAAAGAAATGATAGACATTTTAAAACAGCATGTATTAAAATATATTTGTTCATGAAAAAAATGGTACTGGTTTATGAACAGATCAATAGAACAGAATTTAAAGGAGGAAAATAGCTTCAAGCATATAGAGAACTTGTTAGCTGCAGATGTATTTCTCCCCTTGGGTATATTCATGGGAAATTGGATTATAGTAAGAGGTTCTTCCACCTTTGGATTCTTTCCAAAATATATGTCTTTCATGGCACTCTGATTGCCCACCAGGTAAAGCCTCCTAACTCCTAAGATATTTTAGGATATTTACACTCTGCTAGTTGGCTTCTCCAACCATTTTCCTTCACCTCTGGAAATGTAGGCTCCAGGCCCACAGGCCTAATGTCCATTAAACAGATGGTGTTTAATCATCCATACATGAGTTGCTCTCCATCCTTACCTTCCTCCAAACTATAGTCAGGTATGATCAGTGACTATAACCAGTCACTGTTCCAGGACTCTGAGCGCATGGTGCTAGAGCAGTCCTACATAATTACTTTGTCTTTAATGAGTTCCTCCAGGATCAACCTCCTTTGGGATGCAGGGCCCCTTAGATCCACAGATGTGAAGATGGGAGATGTGAGAAGGGATGTTGGAGGCACAGGTGATAACTACAGAAGCTGTTACTTCACTGCCTTAGTGAATAAAAGGGAGCAGGATTTCAGGCGAGGGTCCTGTGATCACCTCAGACAGACTGGGTAAGTTGGCAAGGATGAATGAGCTGGTCTTATAGGGGTTTTCTAATCAGAGGGTCTCGTGTTGTTCTGCAGGATAGTTTTTCAAGTATAATAATCATTCTCCACATCGCAGGCTTTCAAGATTTGTTCATATTCTAGAAATGTTTTGGCTGATGTTCACCAGTTTTAATGATAGCATTCATAAATGTTACTAGGTAATGTATTTCTTAAGATTGTATCATTTCAACAAAAGACATCTGAGGCAAGTGTCTCAATACAGAGGTTCTTAATCCTGGACTGATTAATATATATATTCCCCAAAATGCACACACTTTGAATAATTATAAAGGCAGTGTTTATTAAGATATATTTCATTTTCAAAATTGAGCCATCAGCTGTTAAAGTGTGTATATAATTTTTGGGATGCCTTGTATTGGAATTGCATAAAGAGTTACATTAAGATATTTTGGATTGGCTCCCCTTCCCCAGAGATTTGATTACATTAATTGGGAGAGGGTGCAGTAATCTGTATTTTAAAATGTGTTGCATGTTTGTGCTACTGAGTGTTGTGCATGGACCAGCAGAATTGGCATCACCAAATACAACATTTGTGCTTATAAAATGTAGAATTCTAGGCGCCACCACAGACTCCCTAAGTCAAAACCAGCATTTAACAGGTAGTTTACATGCACATTACATTTTTAGAAGCACTATTCTCATGTGCAGTTAACGACTGCTTCACCAGGTTAAGAGGATGAGGCATCATTGATTGAGCAGCCGGAGCTCAGAAGCCTGATCGGTGGCAGCAGCTGCAAGCGCTGGCTCTCTGGCTTGTGGTTCCTAGTGAAACTCTTGACACCAGAGGTGGGTCCCACTTGCTTTATAGAGTGTAAAATTCTGAAACACAAGGTGTATGAAACTTCACTTGATGATTTCCTCTATTGTGAAACCGACACGTCTACATGTAAAAAATTATTAATGTGGCTCAATTAAACAGCACCAGCAGGATGGAAATCCCAGCAGTTCCACTCAGCCATATCCCTTAATGCTTCTCAACTTTGTCAGCTCTGAAGCACAATCTGAGGTGTGGATATCTACAGAAGAACTAGAGGTCCCAAGGGTAGACATTATCTTTATTCCTCCCTTTTCTCCCCAAATGACAAAACCTCTCTATCAGGTTTATTTTTCACAGCAATGTCATCATATCCTGTGGGTATCAGCACAAGCAGGGAGTGACAGTGTGGAAGTATAGACTGGGTTCTCTATTCCTGGTAAAGAGTAGTGTGGTTGAAGTAGTCTTATATTTTCTAGAAGTCTGAGATTACATCTGGGAATTTTGTAATAAAAGTGGCCAAAACTAGTCAGCTCTTGTTCTGAGAGGATGTAGTGGGAGTAGGTATTCTAACTTAATAGGCGTTTGCTGTCTTTAAGTTGGAGGGATGCATGTCTCAGACTGAAGCATAGCCAATAAATATTTATGGAACATCAGCTACATCGAGGCACTGTGCCAGGTGTAGAGTATGGCCTTTCTTGCAAGGAGTTTATGATCCGGTGGGAAGACAGCCATAAGCAAAGAATCCCAATGGGACTGAGTGCTGTGGGCTCTCACCTTATCTGGGGAGACTGGGGAGGTTGATGACTCGAGTCTCAGTTCCTTTGACTGAGATGTGAAACACTTGGAGGAGTGGGTCCGGAGAGGGGCAGGGTGAGATTATGAATTCCACTTGGAATCTGTTGAGCTGAAGATGCTTGTGATATTATATGGGGAGATAATCTCTAAACAATTGGTGATGCAGTTCTGAAAGTGGCAGAATTTTACCCATGAGATTTATATGGCAATTGATGCCATGGGATATGCAAGCTCTTTAGGGCTATATAGGGAGACTTAGAAAAGAACAGTGCTTAAGAAAAAGTCCAAGGAAATACCAATATATAGAACATTTACACAATGGAATACTACATGGCTGTAAAAGGAGCTCTTTTACAGCAGCATGGATGGACCTGGAGAGTATTATGCTAAGCAAAATAAGCCATTCAGAGAAAGTCAAATACCATATGACCTCACTTATATGTGGACTCCAATGAACAAAATACACTGATGAACAAAATAGAACCAGAGGCATGGGTGCATGGAATAGACTGACTGCTGTCACAGGGAAGGTGTGTGAGGGAGGGACTGGATGAAAGAAGGTGAAGAGATTAGCCAAAGAACATATGCATAGCTCATGGATCCAGGTAACAGAGTGGTGATGGCCAGAGAGAAGGGGGAGCTAGGGTTGGGGGAAGGTGGGTAAAAAGGGGGAGATGAGGGACATCTGTAACAGTGTCAACAATAAAAATAAAAAGACTTGAGTACCAGCTAATGTTCTCAACAGAAAAAAAAGACTGTTAGAGCCCTAGCCAATTTGGCTCCATGAATAGAGCATCAAACTGTGGTCTGAAGGCTCCTGGGTTTGATTCTTGTCAAGGGCATGTACCTGGGATTCAGGTTCAATCCCTGGCCTTGGTAGGGTGCATGCAGGAGGCAACTAATTGATGCGTCTCTCTCACATTGATGTTTCCCTTTCTCTGTCTCTTCCTTTCCTGTCCACTCTCTCAAAAAAATAAAAATAAAAATAAATCAATTGAAAAATATTCTTAGGATGAGGATTAACAAAACAACAACAGCAACAACAACAACAACACACACACACACATATAAACAAAAACAAAACAAAAACAAAATCTGTTAGAGTAGAAAACAATCACAGCTTCTAATAATAAATGCCCAGGGAAGTATCA